TTTTAAGGAATATAGCATTTATAATTTTGAATCATTTAAGTTTCTATTCATTTTTGAAAACTTTGTAATACACGTATCAATTGGCGTGAAGCATATTTTTCTTTTAAACCTTTTTCCTCGATTCCATTTTAACGCATCTACTTTGATGTGTAATTAGTTAAGCACCGTCCAAACGTCCAGCTACGTGCACTCGGCATTCGTTTAATTTGGCATTTCTACCGCATAAAAAAAAAAAAAAAATGTACTTGTAAATAGGTGAAAGTAGGGATTAATGTGAACACACATTTCTTATGATTCTTAGTGCAAATTATTATGTTCCATCTATATGTGAAATAGAGTACCATTAAATTCTTTATTTCAAATGAATTCACAATAGGACAAAATTCCAGAAAATGTGTACATAGTAATCTCATGTTTTGTATTTCAATTTAGTAAATTATCTTGTGTAATGGACTTTTACACTCTCTACGTTCCATTGTAAGATACGAACACTTCCTATATCATCCTGTCCCTTAATTTGAACTATAACTTCTCACCATATACAAATGAATTTTGATGATTTTGTTAATGTTATATATGGAAAAGATGTATTTGATGATGAAAATTCCCATTATGTTAAAGAAAACATCTTCCCATATTTATTGCCTGTAATTATCTAACACAAAGTTGTATAATAAGACATGATTAATTTCCCTTTTTTATTTACTATTATTATTAGAAATCATTTAAATTTCTTTCCATTTTATAGGCACTAGAAAAGGTATTATAAAGGATATTTCAATAAGAATATGTAAATTATACTCCTAAGCAAAATAAAATTATAAACATTACTTCTTGTCTTTCTTTTTTTCTCCCCCCTCTTATATATTCATATATAGTTAGTTACATTAGTAAATAATGAAAAGGAGAAACATAAATACTTTAATGTATTCTATGATTATAATGAAAAAGACCGGCCGTTAAACAGCTTACACGACAAAAAGTAATGTCTTTGTATTTATAGCTAAGTCGCGTTAATCGGTATATCGATAATAGTTATATGCGTTCTTTATAAGAATTTTTTTTTCTTTTTTGTTCTTAGGAGTGACGAGAATATTGGTAAAACAAAAATATATATATAATTTTATAAGCTTCCCACTTGTACAAGCTTTTATAGATGAAAATGCCTTTAATACCTTATTCTAAATTCATTTATTAGTTATAGAATTCGTTGTATACTGTATGATAAAAACTTAGTATAATTTAAACTTTGAAGAAGTAGCATTTTTTTAGCTAATACACTACTTGTACATTTGAAAATTGCCAATGTGTCTACGTCATTTGAATTATTTAATGTTATACTAGATGATAAAAAAAAGGATAACAAAATATACATTTTTCCCCTTTGAAAAAGAAGCAGAACAAGTAGATATTTTCAGCACTGATAAATTGAAAGCCAGTTCTACAGAATTACTTGAAATCCAACAAGAAGTAATATAAGCTTTATTTTGCATAACGTTACATTTATGAGTACAAAAATTTACATCTTATTCAAAGTTTCACATTTCTCTTATTTCGTGAATACATTCATAATACATAAATCGTGTTATCTCAGTGCTGTTTTTTTCTTACGTAGGTTCTAAAAAAATACGTAAACATCAACCCTATTTTGGTGCTTAGTGAATATCTTATAGAAGAATACAATAAAAAGAATGAAGACAAGAAAACAAGTGAATAAAACCTGTATTAATTTTTTTTTTTTTCCAATACCACATATAACATTGCAACTGTTCTACTGTTTCATGTGTGAAGTATAACTATTAATACTTCTATATTCATGTCATTTGACTATCTGATTATTCCTTTTATTGCAATATTTTCCTGTATTATGAATTTTTATATTATAATTTTGGTAAAAATCACAAATGGAACTATTAAAAATAACTTTAATAGAGAATCGTTTATGTGAAAATATAATTACCGGATTTGGTAGGAATTTATGAGAATTAGAGGCAGTCTTACATAACATTTATGTGTCCAATGTGATATTTTAAGTTTTATGAAATGTTGCGCATTTTCTTGTGCATTACATTTAGATGTATTTTTAATGAACGTTCTATAATGAATAAATTTACACTCAAATAAGGTTGCTAAGGTTTACAGAGATGTTTTCTTTATGTTTCTCACACTTTCATGGTTTATTTTGTGTGTAACAACACATAATAATGTTGTACGTGTATTTTATTTCTTTCATAAAAAGTAACAAATAGTATGTTTAACGTGGGATGCACAAAATATGCTTAATCGTACTTAATTCCCAACAGGATAACGTGTTCCACGAACATAAAATAAGAAAATGCATCATATTACATGTTCTCCCAATTCAAAAATTCTGCTTAATATGTTCAAGAGTATTTGGATTTTATAAAACTGTATTAAGAAGAATAATGAAAGTTTAAGCAGTTAAAATAAGAATAGTGAGTTTTTTGTTATTTGTCCTTATTTTTATGTATATTAGGCTTTCCCATTTTTAAGGTTCCTACATAGTGTGATATTTCGTAAAATCATTTTTTTAAGTAAAGACTTAATGTCTTTTTATGGATTGCCAGATTTACAGTAGTTATTACGATTAGGAGTGATGACAAATTTTGTAATATGCCGTATAAATTGCAATAATAGCATATGTGTCATGTAATCGTGTACTCGCTATTACACTTAAAGGAATTTATTTTTGGAACATGCAATTGGAAAAATGAAACGCAGCAATTGCATCGTCTAAACTTTAGTTACCAAAAAATATAGTACAATAATAATACTTTAAAACATGTGTCTACTGTTAAGAACAATCAGAACATAAGAATTAGTAGATCAAAACGCAATTTACTTTCAAGTTCTATAAAGATAACAAAGTAAATGACACAACACATCATGTATTTGTGATTAATAGTGTGATTTTCCGCCTTTTGTTAATTTACATTGTTTCGTATATATTTATTATAAACTCAACCGTGCAACATAAACTATGTTCTTTTTTGTCGTTAAATATAGCTTCAATTTATACCTTCTTATAATAAAATAGCCTTTAAAGCTTTTGAAGGCATACATTTTAACATTTATGAAAAATGCTTGATAATTTAGTGAAAGAACAATAATATAAAAAAATAAACTATTAAAAATAAAAAGTAGGATACAACAAAATTAAAATTGACAGTAAAAAAAAGTACAAATGCAAAAAAAAATTGAGAAGATTATATATAAAAGAAAAAAAAAAATTAAATAATAAGAATAATAAAAAAATAAAATTTTAATTAAAATAAACAAACAGTTAATATGTCAATAATTGTATAAACATATTTAAATAAAATAAGAATACTATACGAATTTAATCAAATAAATAATATTAGTACATTTAATAAATTAAATAAATACTATAAATAATTAAAAAATTATAAATGAATATTTTAAATAAGTATATTTAATTAAATAAATATATAAGTAAAAAATATTAATTAGTTAAATAATATAAATATATTTAATTAAATAAAAATATAAGTAATAAATATAATTGGTTAAATAATATAAATATTAAATATATTTAATTAAATCAAATAAAATAAATAAAAATAATTATATTCAGTACAGTATGAAATAATATAAAATTTTAATTAAATAATTAAAACATAACATTAAATAATAGAAACTGACAAATATTATTTTAAATAATAATATATAAATTAAATAGTACATGATTCTTAATATTATAATAAATAAATATATAAGTAATATTATAGTTAAATGAAAAATGTCAATAAAAAATAAATTATGTTTTAAAATTAAAATTAGGTAGTTAATTAATTAACTACTTAAAATGTTAAAATAAAAAAAAATATATTATTTTAATTGAATTACACACATATAATAAATATATTATATATATTAAATAATTAATTTATTAATAAATATATCATTACATATAAACTATTGTCTAATAAAAAATATATGATATATTAATATAAATATTAAATTATATTTAATTAAATAATTATAATATATAAATATATTACATTAAAATTGTAAATATAATTAAATAAAATTATAATAAATATAATAATTAAAAATCTTATTTTAAAGTACAATTAATTAATGATTAATTTATTATACAACAATACATGAATATATAATAATTATATTTATTTAATAAATATATGAATATAATATTAATTAATTAACTAATTTAAATAAAATATATTTAAATTATAAATAATTATTTTAATATAATTAATTTAATACATACATAATAAATTTATTTTTATATTATAATAAAATAAATGTAAATTCATTTCTTTAATATAAAATACGTGTATTAAAATAATATTTAAAAAATTACAAAATAAATATTGATTTAACTATTATATATATATATATATATATATGTTTATAGTATAAATTAATTAAAATTCAATTTTTATTTTATTATTCGTAAACACAATAAATAATATATGTAATGTAATATAATTATTTATATTTAATATAATATATGAATATTAATATTATTTAAAACAAAATTATTATATTATATAAAAAAATATTTAAATTAAAAATATATTAAATAAATTTTACATATTTAACATTTTATTTAACTACTAATATAATAACATACAATAATTAATTTGTTATTATGTATATTAATTGTATATAGTCATAAAGTATTTATTAAATAACTTAACATCCTTATGAATTTATTAATATATTCTTATTTTATTATTTAATTAATTATTTATTTATGTTTTATTATTTTAATTAATTCTGTATATTATTAATATATATATTTTAATTATTATTTTATTTTAAAACATTATAATTGTTGATTTTTTATTATTTAATATATTTATTATATTAATTTATTATTTTATATATTTTATTTATTATTATATATTTATATTATTATATAATTAATTTATTATTATAACATATTCCATTTTTTTATTATATAATTAATTTGTTATTATATATTTTATTTATTATTATATATTTATATTATTATATAATTAATTTATTATTATAACATATTCCATTTTTTTATTATATAATTAATTTGTTATTATATATTTTATTTATTATTATATATTTATATTATTATATAATTAATTTATTATTATAACATATTCCATTTTTTTATTATATAATTAATTTGTTATTATATATTTTATTTATTATTATATATTTATATTATTATATAATTAATTTATTATTATAACATATTCCATTTTTTTATTATATAATTAATTTGTTATTATATATTTTATTTATTATTATATATTTATATTATTATATAATTAATTTATTATTATAACATATTCCATTTTTTTATTATATAATTAATTTGTTATTATATATTTTATTTATTATTATACAATTTTAATTTATTTGTTATTTAATTATAATATGTCTTATTTATTTTCTTAATTTGTTTTATTGAACTCATTTATTTATGTATTAATTAATTTTATTTAATTAAATTTACTTGTTTTATTATTAATTATTTTATTTTATTTATTATTTTTAACTATTATTTGTTATTTAATATATATTTTTTAATATTTCTTAAAACTAATATTTAATTAAAATTAACATTTATTAAAAAGATATATACTATTTTAAATAATATTTATGTAAATTAATTTTTATTTGATATTAACCTTTAAAGCGTCAAAATTAGGTTCCATTATGTTCTTGTTGTTTTTAATTACATATTTTATGTATAATTTTGCTTTATTTATTTAATTATAATATCCGCATTAATATAATATATGTTTTGCTTTTAAAAAAATATAATTTAAGGGTCATTATTGTGAAATTGATAAATGTGTGGAAATTTATATGTAATTTTCATTATGAATGCTTCAAATGGAATAAGTAACATTCAAGAAAAAATGATACAGACATGTTTTACAACAGCTTTATAACCGTTTTAATAAGAACAAAGTAATATTTTTTTTTTTAAATTCAGTCTAATGTTTTCTTAATGTATAAACTGTAATAAGAGTGTAACATGAAGGAGTGCATTTTAACTCAGGGATGTGTGGTTTTATTGCTGTGATCGATTGAAACAGTACTGTGTTATTAATTGTAATTAAAGGGTTATTTATCTTTGCACATTTTTTGCGATTTCGGTGTTAGTTATTACACAATATTTTTTGGTATAAAATATTTGAAATTGTAAACCAGCACCTATTAGCATAAATGTAAATTTTTAACTTCGTGTTCCACTTTAGACTAAAGAATGCCTTTTATCTCATGCATCTGTGAATTCTAATTAATGCAAGAAAACTATATTCCTGATGCAAAAACATATAACTACCTAAAATTTAATAATAATAATAATAATGAGCAATATACAAGCCACCTAAAAATACACGTAAACTTAAAAGTCGATACATGTCTATCCTATGCCAACATCCCGAATTAAACCGAAATTAATTAACAGAAATATTCTAACATGTTAGAGATGTATATGGCTTAATATGCTCTATTATTGTTAATATATTTTAATGTTTTTGAAATGTCACAAGGTAAATCCTTTTTGTAGAACTAGCATTCATTTATACGAAGAATAAGTTAACTCAAAAGACAAATGATAAAAACAATCAACTTTTGCACATATGCTTTTTTTATCTCAATACCAATTTTGAAATCCCTCTGTGCAAAAATTATAATGAAAATCTATAGTTACTCATAATAATTTATAATTAGCGGCACCTTGTATTTGTACTTTGCTCGAAAACACTATGTTATAAGAACGAAATTGATCATGGATAATTGTTAGATAAAAGCATAACATGCATAAATTGCAAGAAAAAAAATGCTATGAACGTTTAAAGTAGCTTAAAATATATATTTACATTTATTTAAAAGTTGTTTTTTCATTTGTCTTATAAATCTAATTAATAACTGATAATTTTCTTGTGGACGCATTCTTAACGTGACGTGTCTTATTTGCTTAAAAAGTGATTTATAAAACATTGTATAAATGAAACCTTTAACACAAAGAGTATTTATCTATAGAGACAGTTGTTATTTTACTTAATATATTTTTATTGTTATGATAACTTTTCACAATAATAAAATGATTATGTAATTACGCACTGCGCACTGGTACAAGTCAGGAGACCTTAAACTCCTTAAGCTTAAAACACAGAAATAGGGTGATGTTTCTATATATGTTTATACTGAAATACTGAAAGAATTATTTCTTTGCACACTGAACTCTCATTATTATCTATTGCATGTATTAAAAGGATTATGGAATGAGCTGTTTTTGTGTTACAAAGAAAACAATTCTTTCAAGTTGTAGCAATAAATAAAAGAATCCTTTATTTCTTGAATACACTCATTTGAAAAGTTAAAGGAACATATAAAAAAAAAATTCCTTGTCAAGTATTTGAATACTTTTTTTATATTACATGTTGGATTTTTTCTTTGTTCTATAAAATCCTCATAACCCTTTTTTAATAACCTTTAACATGTCTAAGATCTTATTTTTAAATGAAAGTATTAGTGTATACATTTCAGAATGAGTATTAGTGTATTAAACAAGTATACTATGTTTTTAAAGATACATTTTAGAATACAAATATGTGAATTAAAAAAGAAAACAATATATATAAATTATTAAACATATCCATTTACCATTATACTGTAATTACACAGATGAAATTAATGAAAAAGGGCACATTTTATGTAATGAATGTTCCTGGACAACCCACAGTTTTTATTAGCACATGTGGTACTAACCATTTGTAGTAAGCAACACGACATCTTTTATTTATATGTTTCTGCTCTAACTTTTTTATTTCTAATAAAAAAGGAAGCATCAGTTAGTGCTTATAGAGTGTTAATTATTAATCTGTTATGCAAAATTAAATGAGCATTTCTTCATGCTGTTATATAGTGTAATATATTTTGATGTAAAAACTTAAATCATTTATTTATGTAGAAGAATACTTCAGCACTCATGACGTGTATCCATCATATGGACTACGGGTAAAAACATTTTAACATCACTTACCTCATTATTTACATAAATTAAACTTTAGTTTGTGTCTAACGTGTGATTTATAATTAAGTGGTCATAAATATTAGCTTATAATAGAAGAGTGCACTTTCATCCTATGTGTTGTTTATATCAGTTGATGGAATTATGTAATTTGCTTTATACATTTTTATTTTACTGCTTTGGGACAGAGGAACAAAGTTGTCTTAGCAATATACATGTGTTATCTTTGTACGTTACCTTTTTAATAAAAATAAAAATTAGGTAAAAATTATGTTGTAGGTATTTTTCTGTATATACAAACGGAATTAAAAAGGGAAAATTCTTCACATATTTATGCTGCATATTCTTTTCATTATTCTTAGACACAACCACAACATGAGAAAACATGAGGGTTAGAACATTTCCATAAGATCCTTTACTTGTTCTATAACATGAAATTTATCCGATTCTTTATCGCACTCATTTTCATTTACCTTTCTTTTATACATGGGGTTACTAATATTATTTTTATTCACATACAATGACAATAATAGAACAAAGAAAAAGAGTATTTGAGAGGCGCTGTTGAGAACTGTGACGTATAGATTTATTTCCCATGTAAATTTCAATGTGTAAAGATTATTCATTTGCAAAATTTATATAAACATATGTGTCATATATTTATGAGAGTTCTTTATTTGGTTGTATCTTAAAATGAATCACTACTTCACACGTATCCATTCGGCTACTTTTCGAAACTTCAAGTTCAAATGTTTACAGTAGATCTATTTTTTATAAAGGGTATTTAATTCAGTTGTTTAATAAGTAAAAATACATCGTACACTGTTTTAGAGGTAAAGAAGGCCACTTGTAATGTTTTATTTGGTAATTCATAATACAGAAAAAAAAATGCATGCATATATAAATGTGTACATAAATGCGCATATACTTGTATGCATACGCACTTTAGCATAAATAATATATAGCCCTTTGGCATGTGCTTACATAAAGGTAGAATACACGACTAATAATTTAAAATACACCTATGGACTGAAATGTTAAACAAAGAACTTAATTAAAAAAGAAAGCCCAAGGAAGCAGGGAAAAGGGTAAATAATGACGAGAAAAAAAAAAAAAAAAAAGAATTATCACGAATGAAGAGGAAGTGAAGACCCATTCATTCCAGAACTACAACATTTTTACTACTACATCTGTGCATTGCCGTAAAATTTTGGTAGGTTTAATTATTTAAGAAAGTATGTATATAAGTAATGTGCTAAGAAGAAAAGCAGGGTTACATTACTGCCAATTTTATTTTTTTAAAAAAAAGGTTTTATTTAAAACACGCTTTAGTTATTTAGGTGGACTCATGCCCATTTTATTTTTTTTCCCTAGAATAATTTTTTAAAAACAGAGGTAGCCATTTTGAAAGCACTAGACATCGAAGTTTCGCTGGTTCTGCTTGAAGGAGATTCTTCACTGCCTTTCTTATTACCTTGTCCTTTGCCATTTTCTGAATGCTCAAAAGATGTGTTATCATCCTGACATATTTTATTGGTGTACCTTCTGATTTTTCTATTTTCGTTAACAATAATGTTGCTATTGCTTAACCTTTTCGAATTAAAAGTTACTGTCGAATTATCTGTGTCTTTCTTATTTGCATAAAATGACATACTGCTTTTAATTTTTTTATCTAGAATATATTTTTTGTCAATATTTTGTTGCGTAATCTTTAGGATGTTCATGTCTGCCTTAGCGTTGTTCATACTGTTCTGAGATTCACCAGTGCCATACTGCTCATTTATTATATTTTTTTTTTCCGTGGGGTCATAATTTTCAGCATTCTTGCTGAGAAAATAATCCGCTATCTTTTGGCTGTTTTTTCCGTTAGCATGTTTGTTTGAGCTGTTATCATACTTGCACTCGAAATAGTTGCACTTGTCCCCCCCATTGACCGCATCATCATTGCTGTTGTTGTGGCGGTGGCCGCCGCCATTGTCTCCATGAGTGTCACTGTACTCCGCGTTTGTCCCCGTGCAATTGGTGGGGTACCTTTCACGTAACTCCTTGATGGGGAATTTTGTGTTGTTTTGGTTCTGACTTTCATTTTGATTTTGCTCCACAAAGTTCGGCTTGGACAGACCTGTGCGGAAAATGCTGTTGTACTGCAGTTCATTTTTGGCCATCTCCCTGGTTGAAAAATGGCCAAAGTTGTTCGAGGAAAAACTCCTTTGCTCCATGTCGTAATAGCTTCTATCCACGAAGCTACTCTTGGTGAAGGGTCCCTGTCCCATGCAGCTACCGCCATGGTTGTCCATGTCGTAATCTCTACTGAGGCTGTTTCTACTGTCCCCATGATCCCCGTTCTTGTTAAAATTCTGCTCGTACATGCGTATATTGCTAAATATGTTCATATTGACATTGTTATTGGCGTTTCCATACATGTCGGTCATGCTCATGTGAAACGGTTGCATGGAGTCATTAGTAGCTCCTCCTGCTCCGCCTGCTCTGTAGCAAAAGCTTCCACCTTTGCTTGAGAAGTTCTCAGTATCCCTTGTCATGTAGCCCATGCCACTGCTATTCCCATTCCCATTTCCATCATTGTCATTGTTTCTAAAGTCATACGCATTTTTGGTGCCCCCAAATTCGTAAATGTTGTTATTATTCATGAAACTGGTGTGTTCGTCCATTCGCAATTTCTCGCACAAGTTCTTCTCCGAGGCATTGTCAAATTTGTCCATTTGTATACCACCCATGGGATTATTTCTTGTGTCCACTTGGTTTTTGCTTTTCATCTTATCATTTAAACCATCGAATGTATCCTTGTGAAAAACAAATGTGGAATCATTACCATCCCCCGAATCCTTAGAATCCAAGCTCTCCAAATTGTTGTTGTAAATGTTGTCCGAATTAATCATAGAGGAATTTAAGAAATAAAAACTATCTGCATTGTTAACAGATTTTTTAACTGAATTGTTTTTTCTTGTTTTCTTCGGAGAGGCAAAAAATTTAATGGTATTATCCTTATTCTTAATGTAATCAAATGCTGTGTTGTTACAATTGTATTTGTTGTCCATATTGTGCCTGTACAAAGACGTATTCACGGTCATAATCGGTATGACATCTTCGTCGTAATTTTTGTTATGGTAGATACTCTTCTTCTTGTTGTTCTTCTTGGTAGAAAAAATGTTGGGATAATATGCGCTATCATGATTGTGCTTTTTACTTTTCAATGCACTCATACGCATGCCCATGTCCATGTTGATTCTCATCCTCATGCATGGGTCATTTGAAAAATTCGTGTTGTTATGCTGAGAGGAATACACATGTTTGTAATCATTTTCATATCCCTCTTTTGTTTCCATGTAAAAAACTCCCGACGATGCTGCATCAGCTGTGTCTGCTGTTTCCACGTCTACAGCTTCCACATCGTTGTTTGCGCCAAACCGTCTACTTTGCTTCCTCAATAATTGGTTCTTCTCCTTGAGCATTTTTTTTTTCTTTTTTAAAAGTTTTTTCTTCCTTTTGGATAATTTTTTCTGTTTCATCAGGTTCTGCTGAAACATGAGATGCTCACACCCGCTTGCCCTCTTTCTAAAGGAAACCTGCTTATCTTTATTTTTCAGTTCTGCGTTCTTGTTCCCTACATAATACTTGTCCCTCACAGAATGGCTAGTCGACTCAGCATCTTCCTTCGATTTGTTGTAGCACAAGTTGGTGTATATAACCCTGGAGTCGTTCCATGCATAATACGAACTAGGATCCAGAGTAGGGCAGTAACAAACCTCAATATCCGCAACCTTGTCAGTCATGTTTAGGTATTGATTATTTGTGCTCAAATACCACTCCAGTTCTTCATACAGTAAAGGATCGCATGCCCAGTTCAGTTCAATGTTTGTTTCTTTACTCCACCTTTTTTTTAAATATGCATGTACTTGTGGCCATTCCTTATCCGTTATTTTGTCATTCAGGTTGTTAATCACTTTCTGTTTTGCTAGTATCCGTAGAAGAGAATGGGATTTACGGCTGTTCCTTGAAACGAATTTATTATACACATCTTTGTCAAACACTTCATCAAAATCGAGCAAACTTGGAGCAGATCCAAATATCGTGAAGGGATTAAAACAACTTTGTTCTTTCAACCTTTCCACTATTTTTTTCTTGTTATGCCACTTGGGGTTATACAATTTTATATTTGTTACATTTGTTATATTACTCTTTATACACCCTTTTTTAGCATCATAAATAGCACTATGTTGAACAATTTCTTTGTCCCTTAATATGCAAATATTTTCTTCATTGTTTAAATCTCCTCCATGCTTCTGAAGTAGGTACAGACAAATGTCAAAGTTGTTTGATCGATTTTTCACTGGCAAGGGTTTCAACACCTTATGCAATAGAGGTATTTTCCCATTAAAGTCTCGTAATATTTCTTCATATTTTTTTTCTGTAGATTCTAAGTTATCAAATGAGTTTAAAGAATCTTTTAGAAAATTTATTTCACTGTCTTCATTTTTTAAATCATCATCGGAACCGAAGCTGTCTTCTCTGCTTAGTCCATTAAGAAGGGTATTCTTAAAATCGTAACAATCTGTGTAATTAAATTTCTTTGCTTCATTCTTATCATTCTCTTTATTTGCATACTGCTCATAGTATTTTATGAACACATCATTGCTGTAATCCGTTCCCTTCTTCATGTAATATTCCTTGTTGATAGAATTGATATGACTGTTGTTGTAAATTCCAACGTTATTAAAAGTGCTATTAGACGTATTCTGAGAGGCCGTATTGTTGAATACATTAATTTTCATACTATTCATAAAATTCGCATTTGGATCGTTGTACAGGTTGTATCCAGGTGGGTCCTGCTTAAAACAACTATTTCCACATTCTGCATTGCTCATGTAGGGTTGATAATGAAAACTAGAGTTGCCGTAAGATGCAAACTTGTCCTTGTGACTCTGTAAAAATTTTTCACCAAGTCTTTTAGACTCTTGCGGAACGTAATCCGGATTTAGTATCTTGTCTTCATTGCAATACCTTTCATAATCTTCATTCGTTCTAAATTTTGATGCATTTTCCTTCAAACATTTTTTCAAGCATTCTTCAACCAAAAAATTTTGATCATCATTGTTATTCATTTTTTTGTCTTTATTATTGTAAGCAAAGTTGTTTACCCTGTTTCTACCTTCTGCTACAAAATCAATGTCATTAGTTTTGTTGCGCAAATTCGGAATGTCAACAATTAGGGGCGTTTTACTTGAGGGCCTTTCCCTTCTGTGTTTCGTCTTGAAGATGCAAAAGGAGGTACTGTCGTTTTCGTCTATCTTGGCAATCCCCTCAAAATGGCTGCTGCTCTGTATATTTGATACCACGGGCGTTTTTATCAATTCCGCGCTGGTTAGTGAGTTTACGCTTGACCTCAGACTTTTGTGGTCCTCCAAATTGTTTAGTGCCAATTGAGGGGGATCTCTTCTTATCTTCTGCTTATCTCCCGTATTGTCCCTTTCAACACCAGCATCAGCGTCTACAACTTTGGTCTTGACGCTCCGCTGAAAAGGGATAATAGGAATGGCGCAATTATCATCTTTCCTCTCTTTGCCTTGGGGTGCAACTCCACATCTATCCTTACGATGCCTACTGATTGAATTGCTAAGGGTAGAAATGATACTCTGCTCCTTGTAGCTGCTTTTGAAAGAACTGCGACAGCAGTTGCTCACGCACTGTACATTATTGCAGTGGAGGCTGCTCATGGTGTGATTACTATGATTGTCTGCACTAAAATATACGTTGTCACTAGCATTAGCATCGGTGGAGTTGATCAACGAATCATTTCTCTTAACATTGTTTAGGCTAAATGTGCACTCGTTGTACACGTTCGCACAAGTGCCACAGCTACATCTACCATTTTCCCTTTCCCCCCTGTCATTTGGGATGCCACTCCGAGCATTCTGCGTCTCACTAGTGTTAAATATGAACTCATCATTTCTAATACGGTCAGCTCTATTCATATGAACCGGTGCATACTTCGTAACAACGCCTGGGACCCCCTGGAAGGAATTTTTCCTCAGAGTACTAGTAGCAGCGCTACTCATAACACTAGGGGCAATACTCGCATTGGCTACATGCGAAAGCATACAACTACTATCCCTATTTTCAGAAAACTTGAAGCTGCTTAAATTATATGTTCTTTCGTGTAGCTTCTTTTTCTCACTGCACAGAAGCACGTTTTCGTGCACACTCAATGTTTTGTGCACAATAAACGCTGTCCACTTTTCGTTTTTTAAATTTATGTGGCGAAGCCTTTGCTCTGTCTTGGGAGATTTACCTGAGTCGGTATTTTCTATTGACGGGTAGTCCTTCTCCAACTTATTATAGTACAAATGGTTCTCTCTTATGGGGATATGCTTCTTCTGTTCTGTAAAAATAGACGTGTACTTTTTGATGCAATGTAGTTGGTTGCTGTCCGAATGAATATTATTCTTATGGTCATTTGGTGCGCTCGTCACAAACAACAATATGTTCTCTTTCTCCTGATTCCCGTGCTTGATTTGGTTGCATAGGGTAGTGACAGTAGCACTGGCGTTGCCATTATTGCCGCTGGCTGCTCTTTCCCCCACATATATCTTCTTCTTAATATCTACTACTCCTTCTTTCGCATATGCATTCCCCACTTTGGAGTGGTCACCCCTCGCGCCCACGTTTTGGTGGTTCAAAGGGGGATTCAAATTGGTAAAGTGCTTACTTGTCGTCCTTATCCCTATCCTTCTCATCAAAGAGTTACTCCTCTCTTGTTTTCTCAAATTTGCGCGCTGAACAGGGTTGACAGGCTGATAAAGGTGACCCTTTTGTTTTTTTTTTATATTTTCTGAAAAATAATTATCCGAATGGCAACGTTGGTATGTGTAATATGAAGGGGAAGGGTTTTTTTGTTTTCTCTGTTTTTTCTTATCATGTATGTGTTCATTATTTCCCCTCTTACAACTACTCGATATGCCTCTAGCATCGTAATGAACGTCATAATCACTATTATAACAGTGTGTGGTATGCAAATAATTGCCGCCCATACGACTACTCTCGTTTTTCTGCTGTATATGCTTAAACAGTTTTCTAAAATAAAAGTTTGGTATGTCATTGTATTTTTTTACTTTCCTTTTTAACTCCTTTATTTCGTTCTTATTTACACTACTAACGATGTCGTAATGGAAATTGTGGTCACTCAAAATTTTGTTCACATAATGTAGTACACTTTTGTCGTACTCATTTTTGGAATCGTCTTTTATCTCGCTTGTCTTATTCAGCTCGTTTGATAAACTAATAATGGAATCTATTAAACTATTTGTTGTTAATTTTCGCATGCTACCTGTGTTGACAAGTGCCTTTCCGGTTAGATGCCCATTTAGATGTCCATTTAGATGCCTATTTGGGTGCCTATTTGGATGTTGCCTCTCCCTGTTTGCGACCACGGTCAGCATGTCTAACGCGGAATTATTCCCAATTATGCCATATAAATCTGCCCTATTTACTTCTACATCACCAAACTGTTCATTCTTTGCGACATTAGGGTTACCTACATGGTGATGATTTGTTTTTACCTTAAAGTGAAACGCGTCCCTTAGTGGATGCAGACTGAGGGCCTGTCTCCCATCTATATCTTTAGCCTTTTCCTCCAAAGCAACTGCCCGGACACTTGAGAAATCCTTTCGAGCGTTTCTCTTAATGTGGCTTTTCCTTCTCTTGCCTTTTAAATGTACTAAAAAGGAATTTGTTTCATATGGAACATTTTTTATATACGCATTTTTTAAGATTACATTATAGTTAACTCTCCTTGCTATGACTTGATTTTTTTTCTTTCTACTTTTGGACAATTTGTCCAAATGATTTAAATTTTTTGTTTTTTCTACGGAAACAAGTTTTATTCTCCTTCCATGTTTTCCATTGTATAAATGTTTTCTTGCATATAGATAATGGTACTTTAACTTATCACTTTCCCTTATGAACTTACGTGTTTTTATTAACTCCCTTTTGCTTTTTGTTATGTCTCCACAATATTGAGTGATTCTGTTTGATATGACTTTCACTTTGGAGTTGTTTCTTTTGATGGACACTTTGCTCCCTCTTGGATACTTTGGGTTGTTGGTTTTTTCGAATGTGTTTTCTGTAATGACAAGCATGATTTCGCCATTTGATTAGCACAGAGGGGGGAAGAAGAGGGGGTTCACAAAGGGCTGGCTACTCATGTACATTTGCATAAACGCCTTCCACTTATATGCCTACGTAAACGCTCATGCCCTATGCACACCAGCGCAGGTTAACCGTTATGTATTCTCAGCGGTTAAGCATTTTTGCTTGCTCTATTTTAAATCTCGTGCTTGTCGATGTCGCTCAGTGGATTGGCTGCCTGATTGCCTGGTTACTGTTTTACCTGCTTTGTTTTTTTTTTGCTTCGCTTCGCCACTTCGAAGCTTGCTGAACACCCCGGGGAGCCACAACACGGGGAAACGTTACTGGAGACACAAAGGGTACTGCACGGAATAGATGGAGGCAGCTTCTTCCCAAAACTATGCAGCGTTCATTATTGGGAAATTCTATATCCTCGACGGAAAACGTATGGCATGTAGTTTTTTAATTCTGACGAGCAGGGCCGGTGCAGCGCCAATATGCCTGCACGTACATATATATTTACATACGTACGTAAGCACGAGGTATATGTACATTTATATACATGCGCGCGTATCCTTTGCAATGCTCCAGAATTACATGAAGTGTGTGGGGCGATGGAAAGGATGCACCAGAGAAGGGGGTGCTACTGTTTTAAAAGCGCGCCACTAGCTGACTTCGAACGGCTTTCATAAAGGTACACAAACACTCACATACGCAATAAAGAATTTACGAATGCGCTATGGTCATATGACCAAGGTGTCACTTCTTAAGGGGGCGTTCAAGCATTGCGCATATTTTTCAGTTTTCCCTTTAAATCGCAAAGGGCGAGGGTTCCTTTTTCCTCTCTGTACATACATATGCATATATACGCATATATATTTAGATAGTACGTATTGCTACACACGGGAAGGAAAATACATCGCAAATAGGAGAATGGGTTAAGAAAAAAAAAAAATCTCACTCATAATGTCATATTAAAAAGAACAAAAAAGATTTAGACATTTAATAAATAGAAGTTTTTTCTTTTTTTTTTTAGAACTCTTATGGGTATATTCAATTCAAAATGAAGGATGCATTAAATGTTATGCATATTATATATACATTTACATACACATATATATACACATTACAATTATTATGAAGCATTTTTTCTCCATTAAAAAAAAAAAAAAAAAGGCGAAAAGGAAGCAGTTACTGTTTACATGATTTTTAATATACATCTTTTATGACCGTTTTAAAAACGAAATGAAATTTATCACTTTTCTTTCTTCCAAAAGGGATATTGTCTTTTTTTTAGTATGTTTTTTTTTTTTTTTTTTAATATTGCCAAATCAAAAATGAAGCATAAAAATGTGTAAAAAAAATATGACCAAGCAATAAAAAAGTTGCGCTTTTTTTTTTTTTTTTTTTTTTTGTATGACCAATTTATATGTTAGGTTTACAAAAACGGCTGACTGTTCATAATTTTTTTTTTTGCGTTAGGAAAGAATTGTTTGAAATAATTTTGCGTAACGAATCTGACTTACAGAAGCTAGCGTTCTCCGACAGCTAAACGATTTTTCTTAGACAGATTAATCACATTCAAGTGATGACAAGCGGGTTGGAAATCTTTTCGGGAGACAAACGTGTCAACGTTTTGTAGAGATACGCATTACGCAAACACACATGTATAATATGTATGTACTTGTGTATACACCTATATATGACGTCACCCCTTTTAATGGCGCACAAAAACAGGGGTGGGGTGAAATATGATCGCTTAGCATCAAAATGTGTGTTTGTGCCTACAAGCAGGTGAACATGAGCGTAGCACAAATTGTGAACTGGTGTGTACTTGCGAAATGTACTATTTTTCTTTCTTTGCTCGGTAGCTCGCCACACACTCCGGTACACTAAAAATTCGACAATCAATTTGTAAGGGGCAAGATCGCTCATCAAACGAAGGATGCACATCATTTTGTTTAATCTAGCTCCGTTTTTCTTCGCACCAGGCCGTGGGTGCAGTTGGTCCCTTATGACCTTTCCTCAAGTGTGTGAGCCCAACTTTGCTTACACCGTTCATGCGTAAAACAAAATGCCCGCACAGTGCAAACGCAAAAAACTGAATGGTGCAAACACATGTGATAACAACTTTGGCCATGTAAACAAAAACCCATACTTGAACACAAATCAGTTTGTTCGCATAGCCCTTTCTCATTTTTGATAAAGCTATCAAGTCCACGGAGGCCGTTCGCTCTTTACTGCAAACGCTTGAGTGTACCACTTGGGGGTGTAACTCATTTGTGTTTACTCCGAAAAAAAAAAAAAAAAAAGGGAAACCGTAACGCGTAATATTATTCGTATTGTACACTTTTTTCCACATTTTCGTTTGAGAAAAAAAAAAAATTTATCACCGAGTAGCAAATTCGCAACGGCGGCACGCTGTTTAAAAAGTTGCTCATTTTTATCAACTGGCTTGGTCAAAATGGTTTTCTCGTATTCGCCTTCCATTTGAAGCACCCGTTTTTTATTTCATTTAACACATATATGCTACTTTCCGGAATAAGCACTTCACTAACGTTTTCTTAAGAAAACATCCGCGAGTAGCACTACTCACCAAATGCGCAATTGCAGCAAGCATACCATTACGAACCAGCGTGCATATTTGCGGCCAAGGGAAACTTTTTTTAACACTTTTTTTTTTTTGTTTTGCTAGGAGATATTTGTACATCAGGGTATGCGAACACATGTAACAGCTTCGCTTTGGTAAAGCACGAATTTTATGGCATATGAATAATTTGGAAGGGGAGAGCTGCAATTTAAAGGATACAATACGTGCAGGTAACCCCTGGTAGGTACCCCCCTGTTCCACATACCAAACGTATAGCCATTCCTTTTTTTTTTTCGTCCCAATTTGTGCAACCCTTTCTCCAAATAACGAAGTGTACACGGCGAAGAAGCACTGTTTAAAAAATCAGCACCCACCCCCCCTTACACAACATAGCCATACGTTAACGTTACATTCAGCACAAAGATGAAACTCGAATATATGAATGCGCTGAAAGAAGAAAGTGGAGGATTTAATTTTGAAAATGTCAAGAGAAATGAAATTCTAAAAGAAAAAGGATTAACCTTTCCCAATTTTAGAAAAACGGGAACAACCATATGTGGCTTGGTATGCCAAAATGCGGTTATTTTGGGAGCTGATACCAGAGCTACCGAAGGTCCAATAGTAGCAGATAAAAATTGTAGCAAATTACACTATATAAGTAAAAATATATACTGTGCAGGTGCAGGGGTAGCTGGAGACTTGGAGCATACTACCTTATGGTTGCAACACAATGTCGAATTGCATCGTTTAAATACGAACACACAGCCCCGAGTAGCCATGTGTGTTTCAAGATTGACACAAGAGCTGTTTAAGTACCAAGGATATAAAGTGTGCGCAATTGTGTTAGGAGGGGTAGATGTTACTGGCCCCCAGCTGTATGGTATTCACCCACATGGCTCTTCCTGTTTGTTACCCTTCACGGCTTTGGGGTCTGGATCCCTTAGTGCTATGGCTGTATTGGAGGCTAAATACAGGGATAATATGACGATAGAAGAAGGAAAAGAACTCGTGTGCGAAGCTATATGTGCAGGTATTTTTAACGATTTGGGTTCAGGTGGAAATGTGGATATTTGCGTTATAACGAAGGATGGTTCTCAACACATAAGACCATATAAGCAGCCGAACGTTCGACTATATCACATGGCGCAACCGACTGTTTTTCCAAAGGGAACCACCCCTGTGTTGTGCCAAAAAATTGAAAATATAAAAAAATACATCACTGTGGAGGATGCATGATTTTGACCCCATATTTTCTGCCCCTATGTGTAGCACTATTTATCTCCATAACAAGTGGCAAAAATTGTTTGAATTTTGCCACTATATGTTTTCCACTACGTTGTGATCACTATTTTTTTTTTTTTTTTTTACTCATTTGGAACTTGTAACAGCTAGGCTAAAAAAAAAAAAAAAAATTAGAACTTTTCTAACATTCATGTGATAACGTTATAAGGAGGTACATTTTGAACCTGCCGATGAAAATTCCTCCCTAGTATATATGTCTTTTTTTTGTGAGGAAAATTCCCTCAATGAACTGCCACGCATATATGCATTTTACACATACACACATCACATGTTCATCCTTTTTTTTCTCAAAAGCAAAATCAAAATTGGGGACGAAAGCTTGACGGTACATCATATATGCCATCAACGGCTACGCTACCATTCGTGTAAAATGCTTTAATGATTTATTTTCTCCTTTTCACGTATGGAGAGTTAACGCGCGAGGGGAACAAGAACGGAAGCAGAACAGCATAACGGCAAAACAGCAGAGCATGAGCAAATTGCCCCTTCCGTTGAAAGAACACACACCCACCCACACACAAAAATTCTTCAGCACCCTTTTTAATCTGTTCCTTTTTTTTTTTTTTTTTTTTTTTCTTTTTTCTCAAAGGTGAACACACTGCGTTGGCTATTTGACAATGCCGGGGTATTCTCAAATGGGCGAAATTTTCTCGCGTGGCTGATTTTGATGGGAAAGGGGAATACTTACCCGAGTTTTTGCAGCAGGATCGATTTTTCCTGCTTTCCCAATTTTTTATGTTCCCCATTTTTTTTCCTTTCCCCTCGTTAGCATATTCACCAGCGCAGATCGAGGGGCAAGTCCAATTTGCGTAGCAACTGCAAATGAACAGAACATTTTAAATGGAAACAAGTACGTTTTATCATACTATGGCAGAGGGCTAGGAAATGCGAAGCGCTTTGTGGAAATGAATAGTACTGAACAAGTTGGTGAAAGGTGAAATTTTTTTTTTTTTTTGCAACTTAAATAGCATCACTGAAAAACAAAGACAAGTGAAGTGCATATCCAGCATTCGCCCTGTTGTGTGTAAGTCGTTTGGGGGAAAATTGTAAACTTTGGCCGGCACGAGAAATTGGAGAGAAGAGGGATTTACTTTATTGTCCGTTTTTCGATTGGCATTACTGTTACTCACTCTCTCAATTGTTGCTAGCAATACGTCAGCGCGATTAACAGTGCGATTTTTTTTTTTTTTTCCCCCGCCTTATAAAAAAAAAAAATGGAACAAATCCACCAAAATGAACAGCGGCAAAATTAATGGGAATGTACCGCGGAAGGACAATGACGTAAAAGACGATTGGAATGCATACGAAAATTATGGTGCTGGACATGGAAAGAATAACCATGTCTGTGTGCACATCCACAATAACATACACCTTTATTACAATCCGGGTGATAATTTATGTAGCATCGATAGAGTTATTAATACGTCTAGCAATAACGTAATAGACTTGGACATATTTCAGAATAAGAAAAGAGATGTGCAAGACATCGGAAAATTGAAGAACAACTTCCATTTTAACAAGCGAAACGAGTTATACAGAGACATTGCGTTGCTTGTGTGGGATAGTTGGTTGGACAGTGGTCGCGCAAGTGTTCACGGCTGGGCGGAAGCGGGTTGCATTAGTGATGCGGCTCAGAGGTACTTTACCACGTCCAGTTGCAACAAAAGTGGTGTTAACTGCAGTCACAACTGTGCCCCGCCGAATGACGCCAGCATCTGCAGTTATGCCAACCCAAGAAGTAAACACAAATTTGCCTCTGATCAGCAAAACGCTTCAACTAAAAAAAGAATGTCAGAAGAATTTAGAAGCCCAAGGAATAATCACAACAAGCAGTACTTCGAAAAAGAGCACTCCACTAATCAACTCAATTTTTACGATAATGACTCGAACGGGAACAGCCCAAAACTGACGGGAAAACACCATCAGTTTAGCAACAATCACGACGGCAGCAGAATTGCCGTTTTGAAAAAGAAAGACACAAGTGAAGTAAAATTGCAAAGTCTACATGGGGGTGGACCACACGAGGGGGGGAAGCATACACAAATTGTTAACATTCCTCCTGGCAACTATCGCCATGACAAAAGTGACTGTACAGTGCCGGAATTGCAAAATGGGAAGAGCGAGTTAAGTTATAACAGCGCCATCGACGCTTTCATGAGCGGAGAATATGTTAATTGTGAAAACTTTCGTTGCGATGCGGATGGTTTGGGAGAGCATTCCAACATAGGGGGGATTGACTGTGCATATAAATTATCGGACGCCGGGGAGAGATCCAGCTCCTTCGGAAACAGGGAATCTACACAGGGCGGCTCGGCAAAAGGTGCTGCCACAAAGTGCAATTTGCCAAGCAGGGACAAGTGGGACAAACGCAGGGAAGTACACGAGCAGGGGAAAATATTTTCCCCACGGAAATGGTGCGAGGTGGTAAGTTGCCCAACTGGTAACCAGCCCGAAGGAAATGACACATTGGAAAAAATAGAGAAATGGGAATTTCAAAAAAACAGCATGCACAGCGATACAAATGGGGGAGAAAATATGCCGTACTTTGATGAACAGCTAATAAAAAAGTCGAACTTGTCCGGTACTCACCATAGCCATATTCCTGTGGAGGAAAAAAAAAAAAAAAATTGGCTAGATAGCGAAAATGGGTCTTCCAAGCTAAATGGTGAAAGGAAAGGGGGAAATGGGCCTACGGAGGGTATCAAACTAACGGAAAAGAGCACCATCGCAGAGGGGCTTGACGATAATTTAATTTCTAATTGGGCGTTGCACACGTTTGAAGATGACAAATTAAGTTATGACCGTGTGTGCAAATTTGATGATAATAAAAATTGCCTGAACGGGTCATGCGAAAGTGTCTACACAAATGACCTGATTAAGTCAGATGATGGCCGTCCCACGAGTGACCCCCAAGGAAGAGGAAACACTGGGAGCTACTACATGGAAAGCAAACCCTGCAGCACTCGCAGCATCCATAGCGTGCACAGCGAGGAGTGCCCAAAGGAGCATCCCGCAAACGGTGGATTTGACAATAATTGCAAAAAAGTGTTACCTGCAAGGGACGAGGAATATTTTCACGTCGAGCAAAATGGATGCAAGGAAGACAGTTTTCACATGAACAGTCATAATTTTCAGCACATTTTTAACCAAAGTGCAAATGAGCAAAGTTCACATAGTTGCTACGAAAAAGACTTGCACAGTGACCGTTGCCCAAAAAGTCCAGTTTGCAAAAATGACACGGCGTACAATGAGAACAATTACACACACACGGAAGATACATACGTTGAAAATAAAAAAAAAAATATTTGTGAGGAAAAAAACAACAACGCAAAAATTGACTTGTTAAAAAAAGCAACGGCATACGACCAAGTGTCAGCATCAAATGGCGTTTCCACAGATTCCTACATCAATAAACAAATAAATTCAATTTTTGGAGATTTCAAAAAAGACGGTCATTTAAGTGAAGATAATATTGCACAAATAGTTCATGGCACTTTTGTGAGGGAAAAAAATTTTCTATTTCAAAAAAGTATTGATATGGAAATTGAGAAAAAGGAACATATGAAATATAACCCCACCACGCTTTTGCAAAAAAATCAATATTTAAAAAATAATTTTAGCAACGGAAATTACGAGAAATCGGAAAAATTAAATGGTCACAATAACAACATATTGACGTTTAACGTTGCTCAACATTTCTTGGAGAATAACAAGCACGATAACATTTCGTGCAAAAGCATTAACGTTGGGTCACATGAAAGTAAGATGTTTACCACCGCCACTACCATATCAGGACAAGGGCAAGGAAATGACTTGCATGAATTTTTACACTTTTGTGATGAGAACCAAGTTGGAAGTGAACCGAGAGGACTCCAATTATATGACTTGCTCGAAATTTATGACAGAAACAATTACACCGTTCCAATTGAGGAAGCAACTCAGGACGAATTTGTAGAAATTTATGATACCATTAATGGCACAGGGAGGAAAGAAAATAACAACATGAATGATGAATTTCTGGAGATCTCTCACCAGCAGAAAAATTCAATCATGCACGTCGAAGATGAATTTTTGCACATTCGTGAGAAATTACAAAACAGTGCAGCTGGTCCCCAGGAGGACGAATTTTTAGACATATACAATAGAATTGTTAGCGCGAAAAATGCACAGGTTGATGAGTTTTCGGATATCTGTAGCGGGGAGGAGAGGTTCCAGCAGATGCGACAGCGTCAGCGTGAATGCTGGGGAGAGCAAGTGCTCGGCAACGCTGAGAGGAAGTGCTTGGAAAAGGCAGACCGTGATGAAGGTGGGAAAAGTGGAAACAATGGGCAGAACGCACAAAGTGAGCAAAGCGATCAATTGCATCAAAGCCGGGGAAACCACTTTACACCCAGCTACAATGCGAGGAAAAAGGTTAAGCAAAGTGAACCCCCCGATCTGTTGGAAGATCCGCCCCAAGGAAATAAGAGCTCCGTGAGCGAGAGACCCCCAAATTACAGCTCGTTCACGTATGCTTCTGGGAAGGATGTGAACATAAATAAAGACGTGCTGAACGAAATGAGGAAAAAGCTGTTCGGCGATGACGATGAGGGAGAAGGGTGCAGTACCATGGAGGCAATTCCGACCCAGGGAAGCACCGAAGTCAAGCCTAGTAGCAGTCATAATTACTCATTTAGTAGCGTGCATTTGCCCAGTGAAATTGTCCCTCCCAGCAATGGCAAAGATCACAAACCGTTCACGTACGCCTCCGGGAAGGAAGTGAGCATAAACAGGGACGTGCTGAACCGGATGCGGGAGACTTTATTCGGGGATGACGACGTCGTCAGCGACAACGCTAATAATAGTAGCAGTAACAACAACAACAGCAACAGCGGTAACAACAGCATTGGGGGCGCGAGGGAGCAACCGCTCGGCTCCTTTACGTATGCCTCCGGGAAGGAAGTGAACATTAACAAGGACGTGCTAAGTCAAATGAGAGACAAGCTGTTCGGGGACGACGAGCACCTTGAGAACGGCGGCTCCTGCCTGGACAACATGAGAAAAAAAAAAACACACATAGATCTCAATATCCGAAATGGGGACAAAATTGAGCAAAGAAATGAGAATCAGTTGGGATATGCCTCCCTGACGTTAGTACACCCATTGGGGAGCGAAGAAGACAAAGGGGGGAAGGAAGCGGAGAGTAGGAGAGGGTCCAACTTTAGCAACGCGAACAAGGTGAATCTGCCTGATGGGTCAGAGCATGACAAGCATGTTATAACAGAACAGAGGGAAATCAAAGTGGAAGAGGTGATTAAGAAGAACAAAGAAGATGAGAAACAGTTTGAGTGCACGGACCCTCAGTCGAAGGACATCAAAGTGGAGTGCACACAAAAGGGCATTCTTCCATCAGGGAGGGACCAGACAGGAGATAGCCTTCACGAAGGGGTGAGCGTAAAAGAAGAGGAACTATGCGCATCAGAGGGTTGCAACGAAATTGTAAACACGGAGGCGAATCTGTTACACAGTGTAAAATATAAGGGCAGCTCTACAGAGTGTGGAAATACTACAAAGGGGAGAGTGGGAGGACAAATGTTAAGGAGTGATGTGAAGAGTAAAAATAATTTTGTTAACCCGAGGAAGCGCAAGTTAAGCGAACAAGGGAGCAGCGAACAGTGGGTTCACGAAAGGGGAGAAATTAATCACACGAATAAGACAAATGCTACTTCCATTGGTAAAAAAAACAAACAACTCGATTTAAGCCTCAACTTGAGAGACCACTTGAAGCTGATAAGAGATATGTACACCCTTTTGGCGAAAAGGAAAAAGTTAAAAGGAAACAGAAGATTGACAAACAGCCTCATGTACGTGAATGAAAATAAACAAGGGTACACATTTAACTGGTCCGACAATGATTATTTGTATTTTTTAAAAAATGAAAAACTCAATGAGTACTACACTGCTGATGTGACTGTCTTGTATGAGCTGTTCGTGCTAACCGCAAAACAGCTTAACATTTTCCATTCGTACGATTTTGCTTGGTTTTTAAAGAAGTACAAATTGGTAACCATGGTGCTGGTGCGTAAGTACACGAAGGAGCTCCAAAGAAGGTACAAACTACTGCGGGAGGGGGAAAGGTTCCATTACAATAGAAGTTACTTCCATGAAGGGAAAGAACATTTCGGGGAGATCTCCTTAGAATGCAAGAATGAAGACAAGCGCGCCCTGCAGGGGGAACATGCTGTCGTCCTTAAACCCCTTGTTAAGGAGGAAAAGGATGAGCGACATAAAGAGGGTTGTATTTCCCCCGTCGCAGAAGGGTGTGCGTATGGGGGGAAAGCACCGGGGGTAAATCCCCGTGTCAAGAGTGAATTATTTAGTGGGCCAGTCCCAAACGGCTCTGTCCTCCGTGGAGATATGCATCAGTGTGGGGTGAAAATGAGTGAAACGAGTGGAACGGTGTTGAGAGGAGAGGTGGCCAGATCCCTGTCCCCTGAGTATACATTCCACACGTGTGAATTTGGACAAAGGATGAGAAGGTCCACCCAGCCACTGCTCACCATTCGAATCATGGACGAGGTGGAACCCCCCTCCCCAATCGAGTTCATGTTTAAATTGCTAAAACGATATGTAGAGGAAAAAAAAAACAAAAAGTCCATCCTTCAGATGATGCTGGATAATACCGTGTCCTACAAAGTACCCGTAAATTTGCGAGTGGAAAAAATTATAAAAAACAAAGACAATGAATTTATTTTAATTTTGAGTGACAACTTCGAGTACATACATTGTACCCCGAAAGATTCTTATTTAAAAAACCTAATCATGTCAAATATAATAAAGCAAGGCAATGTGTTAAGAATTAATGGACTAGATCTTCAAAAAGAGACACAGGAGCAAAATCAGATTCAGCCTTGCCATAAGTCCATGATGTTGTTTTCCCTTTCTAGTAACGATTTGATCGAAATAGATCAACAGAATAATCTCAAAGTAGGGTTAACAAAATATAAGGCGAAAAGAATTAAACATATTGAGCACTGGGGAAACTCCTGCTTCTTTGTAGATGTCATAATTATTAGCAAGAGTGATTTATCCTACGGGTTCTTTGACTCTGTAAAGAAGAAGTACTACCTGATACATAGCAATGTGTACGAGAAGATTATCTATAATTTGAGACACGAAATGAGCAAGCTCCTGGAGGAGGAGAACTTTCAGGAGGATGCTCGATATATCAAAGTGAAAAACGACTTGAATATGTTCCTAGAGGCCACTTCCTTTTGCATCGTGCAAGCCATAGACTTTGCGGTTTGCGAACGGATAAGGGGGGAGACATCTCTGGATAACAAGATCGAGCACATCATCAACTCGATGTGCCGAGTGAAGTTCTTCCGGGTGAGTCCCAGAGCGGAAACGACAGTGCGCGCGAAGATGGGGGACGCATTCACCCCCATTTTGCACACTTATACTTACACTTACACGTATATGTTTTTTTTTTTTTTTTTTTTTTTTTTTCCCAGATAAACATGGAGACGTACGAAAGTCTGCGACGGGGGAGCCGCATCCAGATGTTCAACGTGTACGTACAAAAGTCAAAAAATAACAATAAATTCAGTCGAGTGAGGGGTGAAGACAATATAGACGATTTTATTTACGGGACATTTGAGGATAGCAACAGAGTTAACCACATGATGAAGGCACTGAATTATGATTCTTTTGAATCACACTTTTTTAAGGAAGAGATGAAGAGCAAAAATGAAGCTAGCGAAGGAAGTTACCCAGATAACTACCCGGATGATTACATGCAGAATTCATTAAGCGGGTTTGTGGGGACAGGAAAAAAGCACACGCCCATAATCTTTCAAGCCACCCAGGCGACGTACATTAATTTGGATGATAAGTATAGGAGTAAATTGTTCCAAGAGCTTAAGGACATGGTGACCTTGGCAAGTAGCACACAAGGGAACCAACCTGGAAGGAAAAGTCAAACCAAACTTAAGAGAAAGGAGCAGCAGGTTTGCTACCCATCGTTTATCTATACAAACCTTTTTAAAATCCCCGTGTTATCTAGGATCCACATGGCCCTTTTGAGAAACTACGCCAAGATAAATGTGAGTGGAAAATTTTTCTACTACGATTTAATTCAGGGCAATTTATACACCCTCTCGGGGGTGATAGTGCACTACACGGACGTCGAGGTGCAGGTAAAATGGGAATGAGCAGGATGTGGGGGAGGCGGAGAAAAGAGTTATGTACCCGCACGTAGTTTCCCCTCCACACAGACGCGAGAGGCATCCGTATCGGCTCATCCATCAACTCCTCGTCATTTCCCACACGTCACCCCTACAGGAAGTTATGGACTACGCCGGCGCTGAAGACAAGAAAAAGGTTTTGTTTTACAAAGTTTTTCTTCTAACGTCCAACGGAAATCTATGCTGCGTAAGCATTTCAATGATTACTCCGGACTCCTTACTGTCGACATACATGAAAGACTTCGAGTACAAGGAGAGAGAAATTCTTAAGAAGATGATTCACATTCAGCATGTAGAGACTAGTGGGGTCCAGAAGGGAGAACATAAAAAGGGCCAAGCAGACAACAGAAGTGTTGCTAGCAATAACAGGAACCATTTGTACAATTACTTGTACAAGGTAGAAAGAAACAACACGGAGAGTCCTTCCAAGGAGGACATGGAAAACAAAAACGTTGATGTTGTTATGTTTTTTAAAGATGTGGAGTTTATCAATTATGACGAGAAGTGCCACATTTATAACTTTCGCTCATACGATCACCCGGTAAGTGAAGACATACGCTCGGAGAGAGGGAGATGAGTGTGTGGAGATGTCACTTGCTGATGCGCGTTTGTTCGGATAGATTGCACATGGGGCCTCCCCTTTTTGGCGCTCCCATTTGGCACTTTTATTCACCCCTCCCCCTCGCAGCACTTTCACCCCCCGAGGTTGTACTCGGACGATTTTGAGCACACAAAAAGGAGCATCGCCGAGTTAATCAGAGGAAAGTACATTGAGTGTGAAAAAAACAGACTAATCGTGAAACTAACCGACAGCTGGAAAATAAAAATCGAAAAAGACAATCTTCCTCACATGCATTTCCTTTATTTGCTTATTTACTCAAAATCGAAATCCATTGAATTGACTGGAGTTCACCTTAAGAACAATTACTTATCCAACTTTTTGAAGAACATATGGAATGTGTTTGTTAAGTAACGTGTTTTTATCGATGTGTGCTTGCTTGCCTTTTGCCATGCCCAGAGCGTGTATGTGTACGCAACGTCGACCCCCCATAGGGGTTGCAGTCACTTCGGGAGCGTGGCATTGGGTTGCCATTTCCGACATTGATAACACGCGGCTGCAGGGAGAAAAAGGCTGTCTGAATTTACGCCGACCCAGCGTAGAGGCACAAAGCACAATCCGCAGTGTTCATTTTGTGCAATTTATTTGGCCCCTGGAGGGCACGTCACACATGCATATGTACTATCACTTTTCTTTGAGTTTGCCACTTTTTTGAAATTTTCGCATGCCCCCTTTGTGTTAAGCTGCGCGCTTGTGTAGCGATTCGAAATTATGACCACCAATTTTGACATGACCTGCTCAGCAACGCGTACATCTGCGCAAGTGTTTTGCTCCGCCGTATTATTTTTATTATTGTTAACCGGTTTGCTGTGTGTAAAAAAAAAAAAGAAAAAAGTGTCCCCAGTTGAGAGGAGTTTAAACTGCACTGTAATTAGTTCTGCGTTTTCTGTAAGGCAGTTTTTTTTTTTTTTTTTTTTTTTTTTGGACAAATTGAGCAGAAAAAGCAGCAATATGTATTAACGTGCAGGTGAATAAGGCTCCTCTTTGTAGCTTTAAGTCGTAATTAATGGCTAGTACCTGTCCGCTCATATTTTTTTTTTTTTGCACACATTTGTCAAAATCACCCACACCCTGAAATGACCTACTGAATTAACACATTTGTCTGCGTAAACATTTTGAGGGGACGTGAATTAGCACTCCCCGAGTGAGTCTTATACATTGTGGGTTTATTATGCTGTGTATATATAAATAGACGCATACGTAAAAACATCTATGCATGTGTGCATAAGTCTATTTGTGCATTCACACGTAAACGCATTGGATTAATCGAAGTACGCGTCACAACAGATAATAATAGGCTATGAGGTACAAAATTTTACGGCATGCATGGCAAGTAGTATATATATTTTTGTTTCCCCTTTGCCAAAAAGGGAAGCACAATAACAAGGAAAAGTATATGGTTCACGTCTTTTTACATTAAAAAAAAAAAAAAGTAACAGCAATGACGATGATAATAATGTGTAACATGTAAAGTAGCACCATTGCGTATCCTCACTGGTGCTTGGTTTTATTCTGAACAGGTGACAGGAGGGGGTTATATATCAAAGGGAGAATAAACTAATAAGTTGAGAACACGTGCAAGCACATCTACACGGAGGGGTCATTATAGCATTACATAAACAGCTGAACGCACGCACATGATAATCCCTTGTTCAGTGTGTTGAGAAGAATTAATAAGTTGCAAAAAAAAAAAAAAAAAAAAAAAATATAAAAAAAAAACTATACATATATGTATGTGTGTGTGCACGTATGCACGCATGCATGTACGCATGTTTGCACACACACAAGTTGGGGGGGGCATGAAAGAGAGACAAAAGATGCTGACATAAAAATGTTACATTAGGGTGTGATGTCCATAGCATAAAACGCTGATGTGAAGTGCTATCAAAAATGGGGAGTAAAAAATGGGGGGGGAGGGTACACAATTGTCAGTTGCCTCTACATAATATATGTGTACGTACGTATAAAGCTTACGTGTGTCTACACCCATTATGCTTTTCAAATAAAAAAATATTTGTGCGCAAAAGGGCATTTCATTGAAAACGTCACTTGCAACAATGTCACCGTGTTATGGTGTGTCCATTGTGCCATCCTGTTTTACATCTTCTGTAGGGGTGAGTCGTTTTTGGGGTGCACTTTGCAGGCGTCAATTCTGTGGAGCTCTCCTTCTCTTCGGTATCACATGGGACATGTATTTTCGAGCGTAGACACACCTTTGCTCTCTGCTGACGAGAGTTCACGTATGCACAGTTGCACATATGGAGAACACTTTTGGACTGACGCAAAAAGCACAGTTGGCGAATTCAAGAGAAAGAGTGAAAATAAAACGCCATTTAAAAAAAAAAAAAAAAAAAGTTGTAAAACAGCGACTAAACATTAAATCAGAGTTTCAAATATTTAACAAATTTGAAGGGAAGGGGGGCCACGCAAAAATGGCGGCGTGAACAAAAATATGAGGGCACGTATTGCTAAACAGACGTGCAGATACATGGCACCCATGCGAGATCACTTCATGTAGGTACAAACGCAGAAAAAGAGACTGTGGTGCTTCACTACCTCCTCCCCCCACATACACACCCACACCCACACACCTACACACAACGAGTTAGTTTTTTTCTCCATCACAAAATTCAATGTCACTGCATATATCCTTATCATTATGATCGTTTTTAATTTTTCTCACTTGCCAGTTCCATGATTCAATACCTTCACCAGCCCTTTTATTTTTTAAACAAATATAATCCTTGTCGCTATGCAATTTGGCTAATTCACTGTACGTGAAGGATTTATCTTCGTATTCATCCATGGTCATTTTGTTCGTCACAAAAACACGACTTGCTTTTTCCATGAGAATTTTTTCATTCTTCATATTTATAATTCCATGTATTATGCTCAAAACGGAGATGGCCGTGAAGAACATGAAGATTATAATGGTGAACAAAATTGTGAACTCTGTGTTCAGTGGTTTAAGAGCTTCTATGTACGGCTTCAAAACGTTCCACTTGACCATCCCCTGCTCCAGGAAGGTGTTAATTTTCACATTCTGCAAAAAAAAAAAATAAATACGTACGCAAAAATGTGCAAAATGCAAAACGGCGCGCTGTGTGGGTCGGTTCCGCTACATCCGAGCACGCAAGCGAAGTGAGCCCCTCCAGTGCCTTACGATTAGTGCGACGGTGATCATTAAGTTTTTGAAAGCCGGCACGTCCTTTATCAGGGCCACAAATCGGAGCTTCAACCCGCTGATGGCCTTGATGATTGCGTGGTCCTCGTCCAGGTGCACGTGTAGGATGATCACTGTGTGGGGAGGGAAAGTGAAGTGCGCGGGGTGTAAAAGGGGGTATACATAAGTAGGTGTGCAAAACGCGATGTGTAACGCAATGTGCAACGCAAATGAAAACTTTTGAAACCACCACACGGGTCCCTCTCCAATCGGCGCACCCACCTATAGCCACGATAATGTATAACACAGCCATGATATTGGAAAGGATGTACATCACTCCGCCTTCCTCATTGTTGTGATATGAGTGTAGTTCCTCCTTGGCACTGGAGTCATGCGTTTCGTATATCTGTGGAATATTTGCAAAAAACTTTTGTTCATTTTTGTTACCACTGTTGTTCTTGTTATTTGTAGTGCCGCTCTTGTTGTGGTTGCCTCCGTCGGTGCCACCACTACCTCCCCCGCCGTAGTTATTAGTAGTCCCATTTTTTTTTTTCAAGTTCTTCAAATTAATATCATTTTTATTCTTATCATGTCCTTTGTCATTAATGTTTTTAGTGGATGGCTTTATGCATGCGTTGCTCTCAAATGACTCGTTGTTCAACATTATATCGTCACCAAAATTTTCAATGGTTTCCATTAATTCAATATCCTGTTCTCTAGGGTTTCGTTCAATTTTGTAATTTTCCTTAAATATGGTTTTGTTCAGTTGGTTCACGTGCATTTTGTTTTTTACCGACATGGTGTTTGAAAAAAAAAAAAAAAAAAAAAAAGAAAGGAAAAAAGAAAAGAAATTCGCTAGTGGAAACGGGAAAGGAGAGAGAAAAAAGTGTCACGAGGATGGAGTTGTAAAACAGGGGGAAAATCACGGTGGCGACTTTGCAGGGTGACGACTGGTGAGGTAACTTGCGCGGTGACTGGGGAGGGTTATAAGTTGTGCCGTTTAAATGGTGGAGGTCCAAATGAACCAGTGGGTGGGTGAATCGAACTGGCGAGGTAAGGGTTGAAGAGGGGAAAAAAAAAAAAAAAAAAAAGGGATGGGGGGTGGCCGGCAAAAATGTATATTTTGCGCAAGAACAAAATTTGCAGGCGTGTACGGGGGGAAGGGCACTAATAATTGCACTTTGTTCGTTTGTTACTATATGTTGCCACTTCGCTTTTGTTCGCCTGATCGCCCGTCCGACCGACCACTCCTTTTAATTTTCATGAGTTGGAAAAACAGGTGTACGCATCCAGTTGTACTTATTTGGGAAAAAGCTTTACAAAAAAATGTCCCCCTTTTTTTTTTTTTTTTTTTTTTTTTTTTTAACGTTTGCCTAAGTGAACAAATACACACTGGTGGGGGAATTTATTTGCTTGTTTTTTTTTTTCCCTTGGGAAATAATAAAAAGGTAAAAGTATAAAACAGGTACAAATGTGCGAAGGGCAAGTGGGTCAGTGTGCGGGTCACATGCACACCGCTTCCTGTGTAAACTCGTTTCAGTGCGCAATTGCCAGCGGTGTAAAGTGGAAAAAAGGGAACTTGCTCATTCAAGCATTTTGACACTTTACACTTCGCGTGACTGTTTTGCCGTTTTGCCGTTTTGCACTGGGGAAAAAAATGCACATCCAGTTGGGCCAGCGCGAAAGGGGTGGACCAGGCGCGAACAGCAGTGAAGCGAAGCCCTCTCTCATTGTACGCGCCGCGTTCACCTGGTTCGCATGCGCATCGTATGTGATGTGTTAGTGTGTCATGTGTGTATAACTGTATATGGGGCGTGTTCATTTTTTTTTTTTTTTTCCCCTCAGCGTTGCTGCAACCCTCCACAAACGCATACGGGTGTGTAGCAACCCCAGGTGCACGCGCTCACAGAGCGGTTCGCCGCAGCTTTTAGCCTAAGTGCAATGTGTACAATTGCAAAAAATGGAAAAAAAAAAAAAAAAAAAAAAACAGCGAAACATTGGTCTTGCCAAAAGTAAGCAAAATGGGTACACATGTTTCCTCCCCTGCCACGCCGCAAAAGAATTTTTTTATCACTCGACTTCAATCTGTGAAGATGGAAATGCCTCAGAAAAGGTGACACTAATGTGTTTTTTTTTTTTTTTTTACTTCTTCGCCGATCTTCTTCTTCCCCTTCACCACACCACGTCCGCATACACAGCAACGAGCGGAAGCATGTGGGCAATGTTTTCTTGAAGCAGCGCAAAAGTTAACGGCCCAAAAATATGTAAACAGGACAATGTTGTATAATTTTTTTTATCCTCTCACTTTTACTCACCCGCCGTGCTTGTTTATTTTTTTATGTGCCCTTTTTTACACGTCTTGTGAAATGCGCGACATGACTAAAAGGCCGGTCACACACCTTTGGAGGAACGCCGCCTCGGTGAGGCAGTATGAATAGGTTGTAGGGGGGGTGACCCATTTTTCCACGTTGCTCGGTCTACTACTCACCTGCTCATTCGTTGCAAGCAAGATGGGGTTATAATGCACAAACGGGGAACGGCCCCATTCTCCCCTTGCGTGGCCATCGATCGGTTGATCCTCCTCATACGTGTTTTGCCCTGGCAATTGCCCTCTTTTGCGTACGTTTGGCGAAAATGAATTAAACGGTTTGCGCGTTGAAAGTTGGTAAAAAAAAAAAAAAAAGGGGAAATACACATATATGACACATTTAAAAAAAAAAAAAAAATGGGCGGCGTGGAAAACGGCTGCGCTGCTGCTGTGCAACTGTTGTGTTAGCTTCCACGCCGCTTCTACAAATTGAGACAAACTCGTTTGCACACGCGTGGTCAATCATTCGGCGTGCGCATAAAAAAAAAAAAAAAAAAAAAAGGTGTACACCACAGTACGTGCACCTCGTGTTGAGTTCGCACAAGGGAGAGAAGTTTGGTGGATGTAAAAACTCAGGGTGTGACTCCAATTAGGAGAAAATGCTCCCATGTGTGGTTAGGGTTTAAGGTTCGCTGGTCATCGCCCCTGGTTCTCCTCCTCCTGCCCCTAAGTGCGGGAGAGAGAGAGAGAGACATGAACAAGCTAAAAAGACTTGATCCGACTGCTCCTCTTGAGTCTAATCACCTTAGCAATGTAAGGAGTGATCAGAATGGTTATTACAATTCGAACGGGTTCAGTGATCTTGGAAGCGATGTAAGCGAAAATGAGTTCCCCCCACACCGAATCAATTTTTTTTTGTAGGTCGTCATTCATGTATTTAGTTAAGTGCATTTTTTCAGACCAGTAAGTTAAGTCAGCCAACGAAATATATTTGAAGTGGACAAACAAATAGCTACATGAAAATGTTAAAACAAATACTACAAAGTAGGTACCGAATCCAATGTAACCATATTTTTTAAAAAATTTTTTTACATTTATTTTTGCCAGTCTAGAGTTTGTAAATAATTTTTCTTGTAGTTCTAACAGCTTTTCCTTTCGTAGTTTATATTTTCGTTTTTCTTCATAGTATATATCCATAATGGACCTTTTGTTATTCTTTTTTAAAACCTGAAAAATTTTTGTCTTTGTGTGCATGATGGCTTTTCTGTATATGTGTTCATTCAGGTTTTGCTTTAGGCTTCCTTTTTTTAAGTGGTAGATGGAGAGTAGTGCATTTATTTTATTCTTTTCCTTTTTAATTTTTTTTGAGATTACTCTGTAACTGTGTTTGTCCCTCAGGTTGCTTAATGCCTCCTTAATCTTTTTCGTCACCAGGAGTGAGTGCGCGTTCTGCAGGTAGTTTCCATTGGGGCGTTCACGTGACGCTGTTTTGTCCCCATTGACACACCCCTCTGATGTTACCTCGTTTTCTTCCCTTTCCTCTGCCAATTCTTCAACTCCGTTATGATCTCCCTCACCACTCTTACCCACGTGTGCCCATTCTGGCTCGTCTCCTCTCCTCCTTGCATCTGCTTCATCAGGTAAACCATTTTTCTCTTTCGAAACGGAGTTAAAATTTGCACCCCATGTCGTCCACTTCTTTTGGCTGCCCAGAAGGGATGGGTGCAATATGCTGCTGAGGATTTCTCCCCTGTGGAGGAGTCTGCCACTGTGAAAGGGCTGGTTACAAAAATTGCCACGTCCACTGAATAGGAGGAGCGGGGGGGTACAAGGGTAGACACTTCCGCCGCGATGCCAAGCACCCACGTGTTTATGCCCCCCCGACGATGAAATCACTGTGGGTGGTGAGCCACTCTGAAAAAGCCTTCCTTTATGCCCCGTCAAATGGGTAATGCAAAAGGGCAAAAAATTATTCTTCGTCAAATGCACTCTTCTATTATTAAAATGGTTTTGAATTCTCCCCCCTTGAGAGAACCCCCTTCTACACAAATTCATAAACACCATCTCCCCTTCGGTTATTTCTTCTCCTCTTCAGGCCTACCCCTTGGTAATTTTTTTGTGAGTGCATTCGTCGTCTTTATATAAAAGGGGTGGGGTGGGGCACAACATGTGCATCCCCCTCTGCCCCTTCCGCCCTTTTTGGTCTGCCCCTACCAGCGGGGGACTTCCCGTACGAATATGTAGGTGTAAGTGGAAGTGTAAGTGCGTATGGGCACGTATTTTATATGTGTGTATTTATTTTGTACATGCATGTGTACGTGTATGTGTATGTACCGTGGTCGCTCACAAATGGTATGGTCCTGTTCTTCTTGGGGGTCTGGTCCAGAGTCATCTATGTTGTTACGTGCCTCTACCCCAATGGTGGGTGGAAACTTCCAATGCTGCTTTTTTTTTTTTTTTTTTTTTTTTTCCCCCTTTTTGACAACTTGAGGAGTCACCCGTGATCTCTCTTTTCTTGCCTTTTTTTTTTTTTTTTTCTTGTGCGCCCCTTCTCACATCAAGTGAGAGTTAAAACGAGTCAGCAAAGCTCGTCGTATAAAAAATCGTGGCAACACATAATAACTGTTGCTTCTTTTTTCCAAGTTGAGCATCTCAGTAATGCGTATGTTAAAAAAAAAAAAAAGGAAAAAAAAAAAAAAAAAGGCGTTGCTTTAATGTGCTACGTATACCACACCTTATGATACGATGTGGTGCCCATTCGAAGGTCGCCCCATACACGCGTGCCTGAACACCCCCTTCCTACATGCAACGTTCACCTCTATTTAAGTGGCCCCAAGGGTGGAGGATACCTTGCAGGACCTTTTTTCCTGTTCAATCCACCCCTTCCATTTCATTATATTCCATTCCATTATATTCCTTTTTTTTTTTTTTTTTTTTATTCTAAATACAAAATGGGAAATTGCCCTTTGTGCACAGTTGGCTCATACCGTTGTAGAGGGCAAAAAAAAAAAAAAAAAATGGGCCAAGTGCTGAAATGGTTATATGCAGCGACAAGGCATAATTTTACGCTTGTTCTCCTGACCCCCGTTTGTGCCATCGCCAGAAGACAAAATGGAAGAACTCTGTTGTGGCGCTACATGGCCTATAGGATGTAAGCCTTATTACCACTGCATCAATGCAACACAGTTGAGGGGCGAACCCCCCACAAACGGCTCCAAAAACTTTGCTTATAATGCTTAAAAATTTACAATACCGCCAGGGGGGTAAAAAAAGAGCAAGTTGCAACGGAGGGATTTTTTACAATTAAAAAAAAGCGAAAAATAAAAAAAATTATTGTGGTGGAAAAAAAAAAAAAAAGGGGAGGAGAATTCGAAAATGTGCATGTGACGAACGTTTCCCCGCACGCTAAGGTGGGCGCCGTATGAACTCGACGGTAGCTCGTCCAAGGACATATATACATATACACACCCGTAACACACATGTGTAACGCCTGCGCGCGCAATCATGTGCTTCCATCATGTGCGCTGCAAGTAGGCCTTCTGTGTATAGACAAAAAAAAAAAAAAAAAAAAAAAAAAAAAAAGAGGGGGCTAACACCAAAGGGTCAAGAAGACGACACTTATTTTGAACCTGCCCAGAGACAGGCACAGTCACACGGCCACACGATCGAACACTAGAACAGTCACATCGCGTTCCCGTGGGGAACACGGCAACTGAAAAAATTAAAAAAAAAAACAGGACAAGAACGGAACAAAAAGAGGGCAACACGTGGAGAGAAAAGTTCCCCTGGACGCCTTCGGCATGAAAAACAATGTACAGGCGCGCCCCCCATCACTATAACCGCAGCTGTGCATGTATTTAAAAAAAAAAAAAAATGCTATACACTCATGCGACACAGTACAGTGTTACAGAAAAAAAAAAATAAAATAAAAAAAAAAAAGGGAAATGATAATTCAAACGAGCCAACATGAAAAAGAAACCTGTGGGTAAGGAACATCGGACAATTGGAATTGACCACAGTGCATCAGTAAAGATTACATGCCCCCTGTGGACTTGACTTGTCCTCCCCCCACAGGCACAACACCCCCGGAGAGAGATGCACTGCTTCCTAACACCCATTTCGTTTTACGCACACGAATCAGTTGCATGTGCGGTTAAGCCAGTCGACCAGCAGCGTAATCGTGTCGCGACTGTTGGGCTCCCCAGGAAGAGCATGGTGGCCGTATTTTAAAATGTATACACTCAGATTCTTATACTGGTCCTCCCCCGCGGAGTCTACCACCGCCCCGTCAACGCTTTTTATCTTTTTCAAATTAAATGACTTATAGTAGCCGTGGTCAAAGGAAGTCCATATGTCCTTTTCTCCTTTCATGTCATCTTCGCAACTACCCACCGAGAATTGGCTATCATTTCTTAGTATTCGACTGGACGATTCAATGGACAAAGAAGACTTAATAAACATGGGGACGTTGTCTTCTTTCTTTTTATTCTGAATTAATGATTGCTGCTCTGGTGGGAGGTGATTACTGTTTGTAATAAAACTGGTGCTGGTATATTTGCTCACCACAATTTCGTCTTTCAGGGTGGTGGTTTTCCCGTCGATGGTAACATGACTCATCCCCTGCGTACTTGCATCAACGTGTTGTTCGCTGCCTCCATGGTGGTGTGTCACAGAGGAAGGATCGCCACTTACATCGTCTTCCCCATGGTTGTACGCATTGCCGATTAATGTAGAACCGTTAGGGGATAGGAAATCCTTCTTTTCATTAATTTCGCGGGGAAAAGCAGAATTTACCAAACGAACCCTTTCTGCATCTAACATAGATGCACTGTTTCGTCTCTCCCTCTTACTATGCAGACGCATCATTTTCCTCAAAAACTCAATAGCTCCAATGGGATCTACCAGGCAGTCATTCTTCGACTGCATCACCATTATGTCAATGTTGCTCTCTTCAATGTGTTTTAAATTCTTATAGGTTAAACAACTATCTGCTGCACTCACACATTCAGCTGCTATCCTTATGCGAAGAGGCCCACAGTACTGATAGGGATCCAGTTCTGAGTCATGTTTGATCCATGGGTACATAGCATTCCCCTCTTTTACATTAACAGGAAGGAGAGGGAAAAAGTATTTTAAAAACTTGGTAGCAGAAATGAGAAGCCTGTTACTAATTTTGCTCTTTTGCTTTCCTAAGCTAATCATTGGAGAAATGAGGATAAGAGATTTGACGTAGCTTTTCCATTCCTTGTTCAAACGAAAGATGGCCTCCATCGTTTTTAAAGCGATACATCCACCCATGGACACACCCATAAGGATAATGGGTTTTAATTCATTTTTTTCTTTCCATTCTTCAATAAAAATTTCCAATGCTTGAAGTGTGTCCTCTATGAAGTTATTAAAATCTTCAATGTAGCATCGGTGGTTCTTGAAGCCCTCAGACAGTCCGTGTGACTGATTATCAATACCGAAGAAAGAAAAGCCATTTTGATTGAACTTTTCGATCCAGCTATTTTTATACGAAAGGGTTCTTACCCCACAGTTGCAGTAGTTGCATACACCACACATGGAACAGTAGTACACATTGGAGCCATAATTCACTTGAGAATCATTTTTGTTTGGTAACAGAACATTTTCATCATCGATTATGTCTTCATCACTGCTGCTATCTTCGCTGCTCTCCTCGCTACTCTCGCTGCTACCGTTCTGATCGTGATGGTGGTGCTGATGGTGATTGTTGTTCCCGCTGCTATCACTGTTCAGCTTGGTTCCCTTGGGGCATTCGCCTACATCATGGCCAGTGCTCTCCTGCGGACAAACCCCCTCTCCCCCACGGTTATCACAAATCGGCTGGCGGCCACCGTTCTCTTTGTGCCCAAAATTTAATTTATTGTTTAAGTGGTTTGCGCCTTCGTTTATGCTGGTAATGCAGGAGGAACAGGACAAAAAGGTTGTGAGTTTTTTTTCCAGATTTTTTTTTTCTCCATAATCGGAGGAGTCACAAGAAGATGAAGCTCCCCCAGAGGCGTTAGCATCTCTAGGTTGACAATAATAATACAGCATGTTGTTCGTGTCGTTTATAAATTTCATGTCCTTTGTCCAATTGGTTTGTAGAATTTTGTTAAATGAGCATCCCACTGTGCTTCCATCATCTGCAAGGTCGTTGGACAAGCCTCTTCTTTTTTTTTTTTTTTTTTTTTTTTTTTCCTTTGTTTTTTTTTTTTCCTCCTTCATTTTTTGCATATCCTTGTTCGCGTTGTTGGCGTGCTGACATGCCTGCGCCTCGGCGTTCGTTCCAGAATTCGTTACAGCATTTGTTCCACCATTTACACCCTGATTTACCGCCTCACCCGTGTTGAGCTTTTGGTCAGCCCCGGACCCGCCGGTGACCCCCGCTTCGGCCTCTTCCCTAACAGAGCTCGTAACCTCCCCGTGTAGGTTTACAAAACTGTCGCCTCCTTCCCCATGCACAACCTTCCCGCTATCATCCTTACCCGCAGTTTTGTTAGCAGACAGAGCCGCGTCCCAACAGTTGAAATTATTCCCTTGCATAAAAGTATAATCACCGTCAATACCACAGATAGCCATTTCCCCTTTCTGTTGCTTCTCATCAACCCATGCTGGTCTACCCATAAAATTCAGATATTCATTTCTCAAGTGGGATGTTATTCCATGCAAGGCAAATACATATGCCTTGGGGTTTTCTACTCTCCAGGCATACTTTGCTATTTTTAAATTTTCCTTGTTTACAAAATAGGTGATTTCTGGGTTCCCATCATCATACGCGATGTGCCTATGTTTTGTGTCATTCTTGTCTTCACTTAGATTCGTCTTGAGCTTGTCGTTGGCAATATTATTCGTGCTGGCCTGTGCTTCCCCTGTGCCGTTGCTCTTGGGTCCAGTTACCTCATGCGGGTGGCTCGGCTCACTGGGGGAATGGTTTGCCTTGTTTTCGCCTCCATGGCTACTTATCCCCTGGAGTAACTCGGGATCCCCCACTGCATCATTCCCGTGGACCATGGATTCACTGCTTCCTGTCTTCGTTAATATGCTCTGGTTTTCTTGTTCAGACATGCCTCGGAGGGACGTTGCTAAACGGGGGAGGGACTATACACTAATCCTCAACAGTGCTAACCGGAAAGGGCTAACCTACTCGTCTGTTTCGTGCTTGCGCAGAAGGAATCCTCGTCTTAGGGTCATTAACAAACCGTTTTCTCTACACGTTGATGCTGGAAAAAGGCCTGTTGATGTCCGACCTCCGGTGAGCAGAGAAGTGGGACAACTCTCAATCGCTTCTCGTGGGGTTGTCCAAGCGCGAGCCAAAAAAAAAATACACCGATGTGCAGCTATATAACTCTGTGTGCAAATAGGCACGGCTCACACGAATGTTACGCGCGCCAAAAAAAAATTACACCGATGTGCAGCTACATAACTCTGTGTGCAACTAAGGCATGGCTCACACGAGTGTTACGCGCGCCTGTGGTGGCATTACCTTACACTCGCACGAGATGGCGCAATTCAAATGTGCGCAGAAAATGAACCTGCCATTAATCATCTCTGTATGAACGGAGGGATACCCCATGGGGAAACAAAAAAAAAAAAAAAATAGGATGCAAAGAATTGTGTGCCTAGGCATCAACCAAATGACAACACCAGAGGTTCTTTTTCCACACGGGAACCACGCGTATAACATATGTATATGCTCGGCCCGTATGTGTGCCAAGCCTTTTTTACTTTAGCATAATGAAAGGGGGTAACGCGTTGGGGGTGAGAAGTAAAAAAAGAAAAAAAATGAAACAGTTTGACTAGCCTCGAAATATTCCTATGACAAATACACTTCCAAATGGCATAGCGCAAATTGAAGTGTTTAATGAAAAGGGAGGCCAGAATTGATGAAGCTTCGTGAAAAAAAAAAAAAAAATTACCCAAAAAAGGGGGAAAAAAGGATGCAAAAATGTTAAAAAGAAAAAAGTCAGGAAAAAAAAAAGGAAGAACGGGAAAACTTTCGCTCGCTTATGCAAGCTTAAATGGGAATTAAAAAAAAAAAAAATAATAAAATAAAAATAACAAAGGTGACACCCAAACCTTACAATTTTTTAGCGCCAATTTTGAAGCGTAATTGCCGCTTCACATATTTTAAAATTTAGCCCACTTTTTTCAAAAAAGGCTCAGAAAAAAGAACGGGAAAAACGGGAAAAGAAACCCAAAAAAAAAAAAAAAAAAGAACACGTGAAAAACGGCAAAAAAGAAATAAAAAAATTAAAATAAAAGAATAGAGAAAGAATGGACAAAAAAAAAAAAGAACAAAAGAATAACATCGCATCAACAGAATGTACGGTTGTTTAGGTGGTTGCCCCAGCAAAGCATGTAAATTGAAGGTACGCTAAAAAAACACCCAATATGTTACACTTGCATGTACCTATGGATGCATTCACGGTGGCGCATACATACCACACAGGGGAAGCAAATTAAGGGGAATGGTGCCCATAAAGTAGCACAGAGAAAAATACCATTGTGTATTCTCCTTATATGCATGTGTGCAGTTGTACGTATGGCGGGGCGCGCCCCGCGGGGTAGTTCAGATTTGAACGAACGTATAGTAGTGTAGCACTGCGATCATGAGAGAGGACGTGAAGGCTATATATTTGTCTGGGTTCGTATATACATTTATGTGGGTTGCCTGTGTATAGGCAGTCCCTCCCGCTGATCATTTCAACAAACTCAGCGAGAGGGGCATCTCAATTTTAAACCACTTGGAGTAGGATGTATTTTTCAGCCTCCACACCTCCAATTGCTGCTTGTAATAGCTGTTAAACTCCTTGTTCGTGTTTTCCGCCTTCTTCTCGTAAAGGAAAGTTTCCGCGACTATCAGTTGGTGGAAAAATATTTTCCACTCGGAGTTCTTTAGCGTGTGCAGCTGCGCGTCGGAGAGGTGGAGAAAATATCAGGTGTAAAAAAAAAATAGGAGTAAACGATTTTTTAGCTAGCTGGCATATATTGGCTATTTTTTTTTTTTTTTTGTCCTTTTTGGCCTGAACAGGTCATACCAAATCTGTGAAATGCTTAAACCATTCCTCTCGCACGAATGAGGAGCATTTCTGAGAAAGAATATGAAATAGGAGTGGAACATTACAAAAAAAAAAAGTGTTTCATACATGAGGGGTTTGGCCAAATTATCGTATTTACACCCCTATACCGTGTTGTATTTCCGCTCAGACAGGTAAACAATGGCATATTGAACGATCTCGATCATGAGTACAACGTTGTCAACTTGGGCGAAACTCAATTTCGAATGTCTTTCTTTTATAAAGTCCGTCATGCAGATGATGCCTGGCAAATTGGTTTCCAACGGGTGAATTGTGTGGTGTGCGCGATGCTTGCTTGGACAGCGCAGCTCCCCACTTGGGACACACATTTCCATAAGTGCACACACTTCGTTGCGTGTTTTATCCGCGTGCTTATGATTACACTGTTCGTATCTTTTTAAGTTGTCGCCCAGTAGGGCCTTCACTAGGTCGGCCAACGCCTGCCTGGAAATCCAGGTGGCCACGTCTTCGGCTATTTAAAAGAGGGGGGAAAAAAAAAGAAACATACAAATAAGTAATGCAAGTATGACACTTCAAAGGAGCCAACGTAATGTTCGCCATGTCTGAGCAAGCGGAGAACCCCATGCCAACAGTGCAGTAGATAAAATGTGGCCATGCGAATTGCCCATTTATGTTTTAGTTGGGAAACATTTAAAGCGGATTACGGTTTGGCTTGAAATTGAAAATGCATTCCACAATTTTGCTAAGGCACATGTTGAATAGGAAGTTCTCGTGGCTCTTCTCCTCGATTTGCTCTGTGTGTAAGGGGCGGTGTGAAATGGGAGGAAGTGACTTTTGTCTTTTCTTAACCGGAAGGAGAACAACCACACGCATACACGCGTATACGCATACAGGCACAGGCAGGTAGGTGTATGTGCGTGCATCGCTCTAACCCAGGGCGCGCTTACTGAAAAAGAAACGAATCTGCTCCAGGAGCTCGTCACCCAGAAGTCCTCCTTCGCTGTCTCCATGTGGAACCACAACAGCCATGGGGGTAGTGCAGTAGCAAATAAGCTTATCCGTGAACAGGTTGGCCATCTGGTGAAGCACTGAGTTCTTCTTGTCCTCCTGGTCGTCAGCGTTGGTTAGGTTCAACTGAAACTTGAGCTCTGCACAGGTGCCAACAATATGTGTGTTCAGTGTAAAGTGGATCCTAAGCACGTGAAGATAGAGAGGCGTCTCCATGCGAATACATATGCGTGCATTTACAAATGCTTGTGTATAGGGAGACACGCATAACCACTGTTGAAGGTTCGCATGAAGGAAATGACCAACTCATATTCGACGCTCGTGTGCTTCAGCATGTTCATTTGGCACTACGTGGGAGAAGTGATGTTTTGTAAAAAAAAAAAAGGGAGAGGCAAAATTAACACATGGATGAGAGGAGAGAAAACCAAAAAGGCCAAAGGGATTGAGACAAAAAAAAAAAAAAAAAATAAAATAATTGGTCATAATTGCATATTTTGATCAAACCAACCATTTTGAGATAAGTACAAGAAAAGTCATGCAAGCTGTAGTAAGAGTTGTCCTGCTTGTCTGGAGGAGTAGTATCCTCATCCACATTCGAACCTCCCCCTATTTCTCCCTCAGGATTTTTATTATAACATTGTTCATTTTCTGTGGTTGTATTTCCTCTTCCATCTTTGTTCCTGTCATTTGCATTTCTTTCCCTTTCTTCCAAAATGTCTTTCGCTTTTTGCAAAATAGTCTGTCGAGCAGGGGATGGAGCGTGAAGTGGGGGAACATTTTTGTTCATATACATATATATATATATATTTTTGTTTAGGGAGGAGGGTACCCTTTTGAGCTCTCTGCTGGTTAGCCTCTTTATAATGTGTTCATCCATTGGGTGGCTAAAGGAGATTGTGTCTGCGGTTCGTTTGATAATTTTTCTCCCTCCTATTTTGGCGCTAACACGTGGATACCCACTTAGCAGTGCAAAAAAGTGACGCCAAAAAGTGGAGTACAGAACAGGTGTAGAAAAAGTGGCGTCTATGCTGTGTGACTGCCCCACAAAAGCAGTGACCAAATTTGAAGAACAAAAAAAAAAAAATGAGTGGAAAATCGAAGCTGACGATGCGCTTAACAATGTGGGGGTGTCCCTTTGTCTCTACTCACAGGTGTGCCATGTTATGTTCATGTGGAAATCACTTTTTCGTGTGTTGTATACGCCCTTTTTTTTTTTTTGACCGTACAGATGGGGGTAGATAGGATGGCAAATTTTTCATTCCACACATTGGGAACCTTTGAGGATAACATATTTTCGCCTCTCGCGAAGGGGTGTGCAGGTGATGTACGTACGTATGACAGCGTGATAATAACCGCGTCAGGCCATGAGGGGGCGATACCACTCGGTTGAGGCATCCCCAAACAGGGGAAATCTTTGCCAAAGGCATAATAACCACGATATAATTTCCAACGGTGGGAGGGAAAACTATTTTTTTGAAAATAGGAATAAAAGGAGTTTATTTGTGTCATCCAGAAAAAAAAATGACAATAATTTTCCACTACTGCACAAATTCAAAGGTACAACTTTGGCGTTCAAAATTGTACATAGTATATGGTGCGCAATAAATGAGCCCCATTTTGACCCCCCGCGGGGTATCACAAAAAGGGAGAAAAAAAAAAAAAAAAAAAAAAAAACTTACCAAGTGACATGAACAGATTGGCAAAAAAAAATGCCACTTGAAAATCGCCCCATCCCCCTGATAAAGAAGTAACCGTCACAACATTATATAAAGAGAATTTTTTTTCCAACCGAAGCGTCACCAACATTATACTTAACCTCTTCACAAATGCAAGTGGTAAAAAAAAAGTACCATCCTTTTACTTTATTTCTTTCTCTACCGTTTTTTTTTTTTTTTGACAGTAAAGAAAAAGAAGGTGTGCCTTTTTTATGCATATTTATTTTCCCTTCTCTTTCTTTCCCTCTGCAAGTGTGAAGGCTCACATTTATTTGGGTGGCCATTCCAAAGCAGTCGCTACTGATTTAAACAAACCAAAGAGCGTCCCTCGTGCGTAGTTATACAATTATACGTGTACAAACACGATGCATAACTTGCGCACGTAGTGTGGTGCTCACCTCCATCAGCGCCCGCTAAGGAATTAACACAAATAATAAACACCCTGAACCCCATTTCACTGGTTAAACTACACTCAGCGATTTAATACGTTTCATACGCATAAAATTATATCGTTATTTTATTTTAACCTAAAAAGAAAATCTTCTCCCTTCGTTGCTCTGTTGCTGAAACGTTTTGTCCCTCGGCCTTCCACTTTTTCCCTCCTGTTAGTTTTTTTCATTAAGGCTATTTAGGAGTGGGAATGGTTTGGTGTGGTCCGTGTTTGGATAAGCGCGTAGGTGGAGAAACAACGGAGGGGGCTTGTTTTGATTTTCCCCCTTCATATTCCCGGCATTTTCAACGCCCCCTCGGGGCACCTTCTTGTTAAGTCATGCTGATTTTGCCGTAACAAAACGGAGGGGTACACCAAAGGAAAAAAGAAAAAAAAAGAAAAGAAAAGAAATGGGTGTGGTGTAGAGCGTCGCGTGGGGTCAAAGTTGTTAGCATATACTTTTTACATACAATACAAATACGGATCGACGATGGGCCGTGCCAATTGAGCAGGCGCAGTGGTGTGAAGGTTACTCATATGAGACAATGAAATAATCTGAAACCTGTTTTCATTAGACCGTCCTCTCCAGACACACTCCCCCCATCTGGTTCAGAGTAGTTCCATAAAGGTGGTATGTATTTGCTGCCATCGTTTTGAGGAGGCAAGATGTGTTTAACCAACCGAAGTATATTACGCTTCGGTGTGTACAGAAATATTTTGATCATATTTTTTTTAATAGGCCTGTTTGGTCTGTTGTTCTAATGGGTGAGGAGTAAATGTGTCCGTTGCACGTGAATAAAGGGATGTACCTTTTCTTTGCTTATATATTGGTCCATATTCACATCCCCCCATTAGCAACGCGTAAAAGGGTGAAATTATTGGCTCGAATGAATTATATTGGGAAAGCTATTTTATTTCTGCATCAGGTAGCTAAATGGGAAAAAAAAAAAAAAAAAAAAAAAAAAGCGTTGCAACAAAAGTGCGCTGTACAATAAACACACACACATGCCACCTGTCTGAATGGCATCTCTACCCAGTCCCAGATTTTTTGTAGTCCCTTTTTTAAAAAATTGTTAAAGTGTAAAAAGCGTTTCTGTCAGATGGAATACGCGCCAATGCCAATGTTGAAGAGGCAAAAAAAAAACAAACAAAAAAATTCAAGTGGGAAAAGTGAGATAGAGGATGTACCAATTGCGTCCCATTTCCGTAAGAGCACATTATGGTACGTTAAAATCGCAGCAATATAATGCGTGCGTGCAGATGGGTGTAAAGGGAAAAAAAAAAACACATGGCTAAAACTCACCCCCTTTTTTTTTCCCTTTGTGACAAACAAAAAAAAAAAAAAAAAAAAAATAGCTAGCTGCTCCTCATAACATTGTTATTTTAATTTGATGAATCACGTCGGTGGTCGCACACAAGTTGCAGCAACTTTGGGCATCGCGTAGACATTAAATTGGTATGCCATTTGTTTGCAACACAAATTGGCACCTTGCAAAGTGGGTTTACCCTCTTGTGTGCCTCAAGGGGGGGTATAACAAACCAACCCCGATTTGAGGTGAACTCATTTTTTTTTATTTTTTTTTGTCGTATTTGCTCTTTTGAAAACTGGGCCACCATCCTGACAAGCGCAGCGAAACAAAAAAATCAGGAGAAGAGTATATAAAAAAAAAAAAAAAAAATCTCAAATCTATATAAAAACGCTAGCGGTGAAAACTCTCACCCCACCCCCCTTCTAACGTGTAGAAAAAAAAAAAAAAAAAAAAGTCCAATGGGTAACTTAATGATATTCTTCCGGAAGAAGATGACAAAGAGCATCACGCTGGAGGACCTGGTTTCCATGATAAAGGAATGCACTTATGTAGTAGCCCTAACAGGTTCAGGCACCTCCGCCGAAAGTAACGTCCCCAGTTTCCGTGGCGCCAACAGTTCCATATGGACTAAATATGACCCAAAAATATATGGTACCATTTGGGGGTTCTGGAAATCACCAGAAAAAATTTGGGAAGTCATTAGAGATATCTCATCAGATTATGAAGTCGAATTGAATCCAGGACATACGGCTTTGTCCACATTAGAAAATCTAGGATACTTAAAAACAGTGATTACACAAAACATTGATGGGCTCCATGAGGAGAGTGGAAATTCGCGAGTTATTCCTTTGCATGGAAGTGTTTTTGAAGCTCGCTGCTGTACATGCAGGGAGACAATTCAATTGAATAAAATTATGCTACAAAAAACTTCTCACTTTATGCACCAGCTACCTCCAGAGTGTCCTTGTGGAGGAATATTTAAACCTAACGTCGTTCTTTTTGGCGAAGTCATTCCCAAGGCCCTTTTGAAACAAGCCCACAAGGAGATAAAGCAATGTGACCTTCTTTTGGTTATCGGCACTTCATCCTCCGTGTCCACCGCCACCAACTTGTGTTACTATGCTCATAAGAAGAAGAAAAAAATTGTAGAGGTTAATATAGCCGATACGTACATCACGAACCGCTTGTCCGACTACCACGTGCGCGCCAAGTTCAGCGAGTTGCTGGCTGTCTCCGACCTCCTCAAGGGGCAGCAGGCCGCGCAGGGGGGTGGATCGCCTGATCGGGAAGCGGATAATGGGGAAAGCGACTGATCGGTGATGCGGCGCGACGCTCCAGTTCTCCCCCCTCACCTCTTCGCACTTTTTACGTCATCCCGCTCGTTATGTCGCCCCGCTCGTTGCGTCACCCGACTTGTTTCCGCTAACCTCGCCAAACTTGCCCCGCAAGTACAAAAACGCCGAGCGCACCTGCTCGTCCGTAGGGGCATCGGAGTACTTGTTCACGCAGCGGAAGAAGGAGCAAAGCACATCGAGCGCAGTCTGCAGACCATCGTACCAGCACTTCCACCCCTCATAGTCCGTAGCAATATCTGGCTCCTCCAAGTACATATAAATATTTTTCTCGTCCACTGGCCTGTTAAGCTTCTTAAGCACATGCACCACGTCCCCCGCCTTTTTCACCACGTACCCAATTAAAACGAACAGGAGAAGCGTGCCCCTCTTGGAGAGAATATTTTTTTGAAACTGCTGATTCATGAGATTGATCAGCTTCATTTCTTCATTGTCCACATTTTTTACCAAGTGGGTTAGGTACTCGATGATGTTTTGAAGTGCCTCCTTGAATGGCTTGAATTCGTTTTGCTTGTACACGAGGTAAAGGCAGTCGACCAGGTGCACGGCGTTGTGGGCCAGGTGGACCGCACCTGGACCCTCCTCGTCAAGTCTCTGCGTACCTCCCGAAGGCACCCCCAGCTGAGCATGCACATACTCCACGGCGGCGCCACGGTCACAAGCCGCAGCAATCTCATCACAGAGGAAGCTACACTTCTCCTGAATAATCATCTTTATAGTTTCCACTCTCTTCATCCTTTGTGCATGATCCTCTTGTGTGTTTTGTAGAATCTTCATTTTTTCTTCATTCATCTTTTGAATCCTCAAGTGTTCCATTTTTGTTTCTTCTCGCCCCCTGTTGATTATCTGCGCTTCAAGCTCCTTCTGTTGTTGCTCTTGTAACAACTTTTTTGCCACTATTTTTTTTTTTTCAATTTCATAATTCTCTTTAAAAATGGTTAGTTCCTCTTCGTAAATGTTATAAAGCAGATCATACCTCTCCAGGAGGGTGTCCACATTTTTAATCATTTTTTCTCCATAGGTCCTCTTAGATTCGTCCTTTTCGTTCCTTCGAATACGGATGCGAGTTATTATTGGCTGTAGCTTTTTCAACTTTTCCTCCAACTCGTGGTAGAGGCTGAGCTTGTTGAATACGTTTTCTTCCTTTGCGTTCAGCAGCTCGGTGCATATGTTTTTTATTTCCTCCAGGGAGCCGGAGGCCGTCTGGAAGTCCGTCATTTGGACGTAAGTGGGCGGCAACGGGGGCGGCGTGGCAACTGCGGCGGAGCGGCGCCCCCCTTTTTGTTCGCTTAAACCCTAAGGGTGTGTCAAGGTCTCCCGCCTCAGCAAAGTTTTAAGACCATGCGGGTGGAAAAGTGGGAAATGTAGGGAAAAAAAAAAAAAAATAAAATAATGATAATAAAAATGGTAAAGAAATTAATGACCAAACAAATTGGAGTAGACCCACTCGTGCCGAGCTCCACCCAGGAGATGCCGTTCCCTTTTTTTCCCTCTCAAAGGATGACCAGTTGCTCAGAGGATACATCTAGCAGATTAGCTATTAGCCATTTTTCCAACTCGCCAAATGCGCAAAGTAAAAAAAAAAAAAAAAAGTGCGGCAATTTATCGGGGAAGGAAAAAAAAAAAAAAAAAAAAAAAAAGGGGGGCAATTTATCGGGGAAGGAAAAAAAAAAAAAAAAAAAAAAAGCGCAAAGGAAAAACGCCCCCATGTGGGTTTGGCGACCACCCACACCTGTTTTGTCAAAAAAGAAAAAAAAAAAAAAAAAGTTGCTGAAATATTATAATTTCCATTATACAACTAAGAATAGTCCTTGCCGCGTTTCACCTTTTCACCTTTTCAACGTCGCGTAGGTGGCGTGGAGCAGTACTCTCTCCCGCTTGCCGCTGCGCACATGTCGCGAAGGGCAGTTTAAAAACTGATAGAGTTCAGAGGTTGAAAAAAGAAAAAAAAAAAAAATAGCCAAATAGATAGACATACATATGTACACACTTGTTTGTGCAAATGTACATGTGTTAAACAAATCGGAAGGTGAAAACAAAAATGGAAACTCCCGCAACGGCGTGGCCTCTTCGATGGGCACTTGCTTCTTCGCGTTCAGCTAGCTTGGCCTCTCTTCCCATAGGGGCCGTGCCATTTTCATGACAATTTTCCGTCATGCCATTTCCTGGTGCTCCATTTCCCGCTGCGCCCTTTCCAGAAGGGTGAGCTTCCTTTCCTCTCGGTTGCTGCGGGGGAAAAGGTGAAAAAAAAAAAAAAAAAAAGGGGGGCGAGCATGTGGGGGGCAACTCTGCTGGCTGCTCTCCTGGCAACTCTCCTGGTCCACCGTGCATCACCTCACTTCACCACTTCTAAATAAAAACTTACAATTTGTAATCGTAGAGGAGCTGGAAGGCACCCGTGCCGATGGGTATATTCTTCCCCACAATGATGCTCTCGCTGATGTTGTTTATTTCGTCTTTATTTTTAAAGAAGGAGGAAACGAAAAGGTGTTCGTTGGTCTCTTCGAAGGACGCAAGCATGAGCGTGCTGTGTCTGGCCTTCTGAATGCCGAAGCGGTTTATCCCAAGGATATCTCCCCTGTGGGGTGGAAAAGTGTGACGTGAACAGTCGACAGGAAGGAAAACGGGGTGGTGCAATACGTACATGAATTATCCCGCGTGACGACAACACACACACGCGTCAGCCAGACTTACGTGAAGGCCATGATGTCCGCCAGCAGCATGATGTGCCTGATATCAATATCTATGCTATACGCCTCGACGCACTTTTTTATTTCATTGATGATGGTCACTCTTGCAGCTTCAATACCCAACACTTGAAAAACATTAATCACGTGATTCGAAATGATATGCTTAAAGTCTACTCCTTCCAATCCCAGGACGTAGTTGAGCGAATTTCCCTCCACAAGGATCGAGTAAATAATTTTTTTTTTTTTTTTTTTTTTTTTTGTGTGCATTCCAAGCCATTGCCTGCACTGTACAGGTTACCATCATCATCGTAAAAATCAATTTGCTCATGCCGTATTTTATTTATTTCCAATTCTTCTAAATTTAATGTGTCCACATTGATCGTGTCTAAATTGATAATCGATTCTTCTTCCCCTTCTGGGTTGTCCTTTTTTAACATTTCTTCTTTTATTTGTGTTTTAAAGGCTTCCATAATGTTTCTGAGTTTCGCCTCATTGGTGCTTTTCTTTTCAGGGCATTCCTGCGGGGTGGCTTCTTCTTCTCCTTTGGTTTGGTCAGCGTCGTCGCCATGGACGGTAGGGGGTTGCTTGTCGTTGGGTCTTCCCTGCTGGGGTTCACCCGTTACGTCAACTTCTTCACTCGACACGTCGACCTCCTCGTCTGATATGTGCCCATCCGACACGTCGACCTCCACCTCCTCCTTCTTAATGATACAGCGCTTTATATCCTTGTCGCCATGAATCAGGAGATCCAGCAGCCCCTTCTTCAGAGACTCGATTTGAAAAAACAAAAACTCGTCGTTCTTCAACGACAAGTGTAGCTTGTACGCATTCACCACCTCCACAACAATCTTATTAATTTTTATCCTGTTAATGTGACTTTGCCTCATTATTATATCCTTAATGGTGTAGGCATTTATGTTTAAGAATAGGTTATGAATGAGCTCCTCGTTGAACTTTACTGATAAGAAGATCCCCCGAGAGGTGTAATCTTCCTTTATGTACAGACAGATATCCCTGATGGTGGTTTTTTCCAATTTTGATTTCATCATTAGGGCAAAGTTGTAGTTGTCCTTCACCTGCAGGGGAATATTCAGTATAGGGGTCTGTATATTGCTCGACGCGTTTATAATTTCTTTTATTCGCGGCACACCCAGGGTCACGTTCATGCTGGCCACTCCTGCGGGGGGGGGGGGGGGAAACAAAAGTAAAATTTAAGCGGTGCATAATTTAAGCGGTGTAAAAGTGAAGCCGCGCATGACGCACACATGGTGAAGGGGTAGCGACCTCGCCGCTACCCCATGATAACACCCCTCTCATCCCTCCACTCTGCCCACCTGCAAAGTGAAACGTCTTGAGGGTCATCTGCGTGCCGGGCTCCCCAATGGACTGGGCCGAAATGGACCCCACGGCGTCCCCCGGAGCAGAAATGTACTTAAAGTACTTGGAGACATTAAAAAAAATGAACAAATACAATTGCTTCAAGTTAATAAATGGGTAATCGTAAAACAGGTAGCGAAAAGATGGTTCATACGTTTCTGTACAAACAAAGTTGAAGTAATCACTTCGTTTCATCAAGTCAACCCCTTTCTTATATTTAAAAAATTTATATACATTAATCGCCTTCACAAGTAACCACTTTTTAATTTCCTTCATGTAGATATTCATTGTCTTGGTCCTTTCCTGGTGAGTGGGACTTTCTCGTTGAGACAATTTTGTATGAACATATATGTTAGTTGGCATGAGCTCTGGTAGGTAGTTCATAAGAAAGTTTGTCCACTGCACAACTTCATATGGGAGTAGAATGTAATGTTGCTTCTTCTTTTCAATGTACTCAAATACACTTACAAATGCGATTATGTTTTTTATCATTTGCCTGTACAATTTGCTTTCATATAGCTTGGCACTTTCGTCCTTGTCGCGGCTTCCATTCGTCCCGCTATGCGATTGTGCATATCTTTTCTTCCTCCTGTTGGGGAGACAAGTTTGCACATCTGCAGTAGTGGAGTCTCCACCAACAACATCTCTCACGTTGGTCGCCACCTGACATTGCCCCTTACTCCTGCGACACTTTTCCCTCTCAGATCTATACACTGTGTTAACAATTTCAATCTTCTTGACCACATTTTTGCTCATCTGGCTGTACATGCTTCGTACGAGTTTCTTTTCCGACTCGCTCAGGCAGACCTGATTCTTCTCCATGAGTTTTTTTATCTCCACCACGTTACGGTAATCATTTACGAACCGTGAAATGGACTCATGTTGGCGTGGCGGCAGGACGCAGTTGTTTTGCGCCGTCGCCTCGTCGTCCTCCTCCTGCTGCTGCTCCTCCGCTGCTTGACTTCGGTTAGCATGTCGCTGCGGCGTTTCCATGACCATGTTGACAAATTGCTGGTCATGGGACAGGGGGATGAAGGGCGCCGCATCCGGGGCACTCATTTGAGAGACGACCCTGTTGACGATGGACGAAATGGGGGAGGGTGAAAACGGGGCAGGGGGTACTGCAATGCTGGACAAAGGAGGGGAGAGCTTGCCATAGGACAAGAGAATATTGCTCGACGAAATGGAAGTGATGTGGTCAAATATTTTTTCAAACTGATGAGCATAAGAATTATTGTTGTCGACATAAGATGGGTTCAGTGCATCATCCCCGTAAATAAATTGTACAATTTGTTTATCACAAGAACGAACAGAGTAATCGTAGTGAATTGATAAATCTTCCAGAGCTTTCATGAGTCTCCTTTGCATATACCCCGTTTCAGCAGTCTTCACAGCTGTGTCCACAAGTCCTTCTCTTCCGGACATGGTATGAAAGAAAAACTCCGTTGGGTTCAGACCCGTGTAGAACGAGTTTTGCACGAAGCCTCTACTTTCAGAGTCCTTGCAGTGAAAATTAAAATGAGGGAGAGTCCTATTAATGAATCCATTTTTGATCCTCTGACCCGTAACGTTCTGTTGCCCCACACAGGCAATCATTTGAGCAATGTTGATAAGAGCTCCCTTGGCTCCAGAGTTAAACATGATAAGAGGTTTGTTCAAATGATGTAAATATTTATTACAAGTCTTCCCTGCATCGTTCCTCAAATCATCTAACGTATTTTTTACTTTTATTTCTAGCGTTTCTTCTAAAGTACATCCTGGTTGTATTTGCATTTTTTTTTCATTATAAAGAGCGATTTCTTTATTAACTTTTTCATAACCTTCTTGGAGCAAATCCTTTTTCTTCTGAATGAGCGTCTCAGATGGAGTTACATCATCAATGCCTATGGTCATTCCTTTGTTGGAGAAATATCTGCTGGTCAGTTTTGAAAAACGGTTCATAACTTTTAGCGCAATATAGGAAGAGTTGTGATGGATGAGGTAGTAGAATAGGCCATACTTGGAAGACCCTAAAACTTTCTTTCCTAACGAGCCACAAATCAATTCTGACTTATAAAAACAAACATAAGAATCATTCAAACACATATATTTTAAATCTCCATTCTTTGTTGAGTATTCTCTTTCTTTCATTTCAAAATTAATAATTGTGTTTTCCTTTCTGTTTGGCTTTATGAGGACACTTATTAATTGCTTTCCGGTCCACAGTTCCTTCGGTTTCAGAATCGCTGGCACAGGCAATTCTATATCTACCTTTGCATCTGAAAAATAGGAGCAAAGTAAACAAAAGGAGTCTCGATCCAGGAAGGTATCTTTATTTGTGATGACGTAGGAGGCGGAAAGGAAGTCCTGCGTTAAAGCAATCATCACCTCTCCATTCTTTGGCGTTATCAAATTATGTTTTACATTCATAAGGTATAAAGCTTCTGCTCTTGCTTCTTCCGTTTGTGGGACATGTAAATTCATTTCGTCTCCGTCAAAATCAGCATTGTAAGGAGAGCACACACATTCGTTGAAGCGAAAAGTTTTGTATTTCATTACTCTGGCTTTGTGACACATGATGGACATTCGGTGTAAGGAAGGCTGTCTGTTAAATAAAACAATGTCTCCATCCACTAGGTGCCTCTCTACAATATCCCCCACTTGCAAATTGTCCATGATGAATTTTTTATTCGCATACTTTAAACTTATTTTGTTAATGAAAGAGTTCCCTCTACGAGAGTCTACATGTTGCATGGTGGAAGTGGGCTGAGCGCTGCTAATGCCTTCTTCCTCCCCCCCTTGCCCGACATACCGTTTCACCACATCGATAAGGGAATAATCCCCTTGTGATGACATTCCACCACCAATTTGTAACGAATTGCCCTTGTTACACCCTTTCTTAATGACATAATTTGCCCCCGGCCAAATGTTCGTCCCGTTTTTTATAAGTCTCTTCAATCTATCCATGTTGTACCGATTGACCTTCTCGGGGTAAGTGAGTCTCATCGCAATAATTTCTGGCACGACCACCTCATCAATGGAAATATTAGGATCGGGGGATATAACTGTTCTGCTCGAGAAGTCTACCCTTTTACCAGATAAGTTACATCTGAATCGACCTTCCTTCCCCTTAAGCCTCTGACAAATTCCCCTACCAGGTTTGGAAATATTTTGAGTCGCCAACAATTGAGACACGGCAGGGGAATCACTATTAATGAATCTCGTAATTTGAAGTTGCAAAAATTCAACATTACCAAGGAACTGATTTGTTTGGTAGCCATTAGTACATTGGTTATTTATGGTGTTATTGAGTTGTGTGATTTCCGACAGAATACAAGTCAAATCATCTTCTGCTGTTCCATGTTCATCAATTATAACGGAAGGTCTAATTGTGTTTGGTGGTACCAGCAAGGCTGTTATCAGCAATTTTTCAGGATTTTCTACATTTAAAAGTTTAATATGATAAGGATTCATATTTTTGAACAAATTTAAAACGTAAAGACTATTCAAATCATCCTCTTTTATTACCATCCTTCCATTTTCCTTGGTCTTAATCACATGTTTTAATTTCATAAATTGATCTAAACTGGGTTTTATAATTTTTTTAATTACTCCTTGAGGATATCCACAACGGTAACATTTGGTCACCTTTTTGCAACTGTTCAGAATTTTTTTAAAAATATGCTTTTTAAAAAATTTATCCTCCACCGTACGTCTTTTTAAATTCGTATAAAATTCAAGCTTCTCATTGCTCAACAAAATGTGTGAACAAACTTTACAAATGCAGTACAATATGTATATTATATATTTGTAATATCCCACATGGAACAGTGGGTAGTTTAATTCAATATATCCAAAATGACCTGAACAGTTCATAAAATTTCGATTACATGTTTCACATAAGGAGTTACTTTTGTGAGCTCCTAATTTAAGGTCCAGGACTCCATAAGGGTAGGGTATGCTTGTGTTGTTTTTGTACATTTCTCTGTTTAAAATTTTCACCTCGGAACATTTTATTATTTCTTCCTTATTCATAATCCCAAATTTCAGACTTTTGATTTCCCAGTTGCTCTTCACGTCTTGCACGAATCCCTTCCGCAGGCTGCTCCGCTGAATCAGCCTTCGCAGCTCCTCCACGTCCACCGCCTTTACACGAAAATTATCCACGCCCATGTCCCTCCCCCGCAACTGCTGCACGTCCACCTCCCTCCCCCGCAACTGCTGCACGTCCACCTCCCTCCCCCGCAACTGCTGCACGTCCACCTCCCTCCCCTGCAACTGCTGCACGTCCACCGCCTTCCCCCTCATTGTGGCGACACGCGATGGACTTCTCCTGTCCCACCCCTCACGACTCACCGGAGAAGAAGGCAACCCCACAAAAACGTGTAAAGGTCTCTCTCCCTTCCCCTATCAGATTTTTCTTTTTTTTCCGAACAAGCATGACAGAAACGATGATCTTTTCTTCACTTCCCCTTCCCCCCCCACATCAGACTTCTACTCGAGGGGCATGCCAACACAATCCCCCCCCCTCGCATGAGACTTCTAGTCGAGGGGAAAGGGCAACACAACCGCCAGTTGTGCATGGAGAGTATAAGTGGTGGCTACTCGCTCTGGGGAGCTACAAACAGAATGAGCCAAAAAAAAAGGGGGGAAATTAAAAAAAAAAAAAAAAATCGCAAAAGGAATTGCAGTCCTCCGTTGTGCGATGCTTTTTAATTATCATTTTTTTTCCCTTTCCCTTTCCTTTTCCCCTTTTTTTTTTTTTTTTTTTTTTTTTTGTGCCTACACAAGTGGGTCATATATTTTGCTTATCCGTATGACCACCCCACTTTTTTTTTTTTTTTTTTTTTTTTTTCCACCTTGCCCCGGAACCATAGTTGGGAAAAAAGCCGAGCCCCTAAGTTGGCAAGCGGGGGGAACA